TGGCAACTATTAACCTTTCCATGATTATATAGGTTTCTGGTTTTGCCTTTCCGTTAAAAAGCAAAAACTTGCAAAGGAAATAGGGTTTCTAGCCACATCCTGAGACTGAGTCAGGGAAAAGGTGCATATTTAGAACCTAGAAGGGTTAAGATTTGTTACTCAATAGCAACTTTTAGTACTTTGAGGCTGGATGAGACCCAGATAATCATCTAATCCACGCCCTGCGCTAACAGATAAGAGAAACCAAGGTCTGGAGAGGTGAAGTAATTTCTCCAGGTCCACATAATGCATTGTTCTGCAGAGCCAACTGATACACGGCTGCTGCCCCCAGAGAGGCTTCTAAGGACCATTCCAGAGTGTAGAGGATCTGGTTAAGTCGTGGTCAGATAGTGACTTTAATTGGTAGAATCTGAAAGAGAATTATCAGCTCGCTAAAATAAAATGTCTTCCCTCTGACACACTACTGCTCTTCTCTAGCCATATCTGTCAAAAGGACTACATGAGACCCACCACACCAGCAGGGTAAAGCGGAAGCAAGAACTCTAGTTCCTCAAATGTTTTATTTTAAAAATTCCTTGAAATCCTAAAACATACAATTAACTAGAAATGATTTAAAAAGAGAACCCTAAAAGACAAAACATTGTTTTATATTTTATCTAATAATCCAACTTCCCCAAGGAAATCAAAACACCCGAGGCTGGGCTGTGATGCCCGGCACACCCAAGTCTTTGTGCATGGCAGGAAATGTTTGGTGACCCAGTGCAGGACATATTGTGATGCTAATATTTTCTTCTTTAATTGATAAATATAGCCCAATATTCACTAATGTGGACAAGTTCAAGAAAAACTAAGCCTAGAGATCAAAAAGTTTCAATTAGAGAATATCTTCAAGATGTAGAGTTGGTGCTTCTTTCCAGTTTAAATAAATATTTACCAAGCACTTTCAAATCTGGGACTCTATGTAAGACATAATTCCTGGGAACAATAGCTGTTCTTACATCACATGTGTATAAAATGATTCATAATTAGTGTGCCAATTGTTTACCCAGAAAGAGGTGCTTCAGAAGAAGATAAGGATGTCTAAAACCAGTTTCATGTGGTGATACTCATGCGGCATCCGACACTTTCCAAACCGTCATGCCTTTGGGTCTTATGACAGTCATGTTTTACAGGGTCATATACAGGTGATGAGACCCAACAACGCAGCTAGACAGGACACAAGCTGGTCTAAACACCAGGTTTCCTGCCTCAGGAGTCACACCCCATGCTGACCCCAGAAGCGATTCATACCATCAATTCTCTTATCAAATCCCTCTTCATCGATGAAGGAGATATTCAGCACCAGCCTGAATAGACTGCAAATTCTAAGATGAAAAGAGTTAAAATCAATGAAGTTTTTTTTTTTGAAGTTTTCTTTCAAAACAGAAAATGAGCTTCAGATTTCTGAAAAGTCCCTACCAATACTGAGCACTTTAAGATGTTTGCCATGAGCTAACCCTACTGAAAAACCAGTGACTTTGTTAATGAGTCACTGAAACTCAGTAGCAAAATTTATTTACTAAAAAGATAAAAAACAAGGAGATAATGAAGGAGATGTACTTATTCAAGTAAGGAACAGGAAAACGTGTCTAAGCTGACTCACGCCAACTTCCTAAATAGAAACTCTAAAGTGGTGTCTAAAGCCCCCATGGTTCTTTACTGGGTCTGCACAGCTGAAGATGGGTGAGGTCTGAGTGAGGCCTAGCACGGTATATTTTCAACATGTAACAGAAATGTTTTGCATGGTCTGTTCCTCTTAAAAGATCCTGAGAAACCAGACTTTTGCTCAAAGGATGGGAATACAAGCCATCTTATCGTTAGCCCTGCCCTGCTCATCTTCCTTAAGAACTTTTCTCACTGCTGCAGTCCCGGAACCATTGTAAGGTGCCTCGTGGCATGGCCGCCACCAATGCGGGCGCGGGAGGTCATCTGGTGCTGAGGTCTCAGAGTGGTTTGTGTCAGCCTGCTGAGTCTCATGTCCTTCATGTCCTGCGAAAACCTGGGTTCTGTCTGTGAATACAAAACCCACTAGCTTCCTCTGAGATGGAAGTTCCAGGAGCGCTCCAAAGAATGAACATACTTGGGAAATACTAATTAGCTGGGAGGGCAGACTCCGCCTCTGTAGGACCAGTACTGGTCACCGGGAGCTTCTGGCCAAGGGACAGAATGAGGCTTCACAAGGAGAACGCCAAGGGCACCAAGTCAAGGTGAGCGTGAAGGTACGCAAAGCAGGGGAGGCCTGCCAGCACAGGCACTCCTTTATTTGGAACACAGTGTTTTCCCTACCTGCTTTATCAGGCAATCAGTGACAGCAGCGTGGAGACCCGGGTTACTCCAATTCCACGACAAGTGAACACTGCTACGTTTACTTTAAGCAACAGGCACGTCCCTTAGGCAACTGAAAGGACTTCACACATAAGAACTTTCTCTCTGAAATTTCTCATTTTACAGGAAGGAAAAAAACCCTAAAACGAGATCCCTCAAGAAAACGGCTAAAAGCAGACAGATGATTTAATTCTGCTCACTTGTACTTCTTAGGGTCAGAGTGTCAAAGTTTCAGATCAGGATGCTGACTTTAAGCACAGGCATCTTCCAAGGGGATGGGTACTAAGTGCCACACACTTAGTCAAGGGTTTTACCTTGATGCCACATTCTACCTCTATCCTCTACTGAGGAAATAACTGATACCAGATATTTGCAAAAAAAAAAAAAAAAAAATCAACGTTACTTCTTTTTAAGATAGATTTATTTATTTACTTATTTGAGAGAGAGAGAGTGCGAGCATGAGAATGGGAGAGGCAGAGAGAAGAGGAGCCTCTCCAGCAGACTCCATGCTCAACATGGAGCCCAATGAGGGGCTCGATCTCATGACCCTGAGATCATGACCTGAACTGAAACCAAGAGTCGGATGCATAACTGACTGAGCTACCCAGGCACCCCTTACTTCATTTTTTGATCATATATTCTCATTAAGGAGAAGCTATTATGGTTAAAAAAAAAAAAAAAAAAAAAGCCAGCACAGGTCAGGCCAGGTCAGGCCCCTTAAAAGAGACACATGACCTGCTTCACATGACTGCCAATGACTGCTGTGCATCACCTGACAAACCGTGGCATTTGGGGGACCCTCTTTCCTTGCTCAGAAGTAATAGTGTTGGCTATATTAGCTCAACTGGTCCTTACATTTTTTTTTTTAAAACTCAATAGTTTTTTTTTTTTTAATTTTTTTTTTATTTATGATAGTCACACAGAGAGAGAGAGAGAGAGAGAGAGAGAGAGAGAGAGAGAGGCAGAGACACAGGCAGAGGGAGAAGCAGGCTCCATGCACCGGGAGCCCGATCCCGGGTCTCCAGGATCGCGCCCTGGGCCAAAGGCAGGCACCAAACCGCTGCGCCACCCAGGGATCCCCTGGTCCTTACATTTTTAAAATGAGTTATTGTAAAGGGAAAGTGATCTGTTCAAACATGAGTGATTTTCACTATCACACAACTAAGCCAGAATTTGGAAGCATACACTATCAGTCTGAAAACAAACCTATCACTTATGAAATTGTGCCATGCTAGGACTATCAGGCGGAGATGCCTAGACAGAGCATGAGACCCCGACTCTTGTTATGTATGCAACTGTGGGGTGAATTTCCGGATCAAATCTGTCATTGTTTGGCAGCCATGTAACCACTAAACAGAGAAAAACCATGATTTTAGGGTCCAGATTCTTTTTGTAGACCTGTAAGAACTGTTCTCACTGCAATTCCCTTAATCCATGAGTGTGTTTATGAGAGTCACGTGGGAGCTGAGGATGAACTGAACAAGTGGTTATGTCTCACTTTGGGGTCAAATCCACTCAAGTTTTCTGAAGTTCTAAGTACACAGTCCTATCTTCCACGGTGCCTTCTTTTCCGAAGGGTGTTATACTTAGGAAAGCTCCATCCACTATTCTCCATAGGTTTCTAGACACCAAGGGACTGGTGGGCCATAGGGGCCAGACAATTCAGTAAGCGAGTGGATGAGGATTTGTTGCATATCCCTTCAAGGCCAGTCGTACACATGTGGGGCATAGAAACACGTCCTTCTGGCTCTCCAGGAGGCATCTGAGGTGCCAGGACAGTTTGCTAGCATTTTTCCGGATCTCACAGGCACAATGAGAGGGGAGGAAAGGGAGGAAGACCAATGTGGTGTAGCACCTGTCATTACACACAGCCCAGGAACCCTCCCTGGCTGTTTGACTTATTTGTGATTTATTTACTTACTTTGAGAGAAAGAGAAGAACATGAGTGAGAGGGGGAGAGGGAGAGGGAGAGAATCTCAAGCAGAGTCCACACTGAGCGTGGAGCCCCACATGGTGCTGGATCCCAGGACCCTGAGATCATGACCTGAGCCGGAACCCAGAGTCAGATGCATAACTAACTGAGCTACCCAGGCGTCCCTGGCTGTCTCATTTAATTCTCACAAGAAACTATGACAGTACCAACTTCTATCTTATACACAAGCCCACTAAGGCACAGAAGCTGAAAGAATCTGTCGAAGTTGTAGAACAAGGAAGAGCTGCTCCTGGCACTTGCACATTTGTGTCTCCCAAGCCCACTGCGATCTCCCAACACCAGTCTGGTGGGTGCCAAATGCCACCAGTAAATGGCAGACATCTACAGCCCTCCTTTTGACCATGCAAGAGGAACCACTGATTTGGGAAATCTCTCAGGGACAGGGCAGTGGAACAGGTGAGTTTCTGTACATGTAGAAAGGGAGTTGGGAACCTACCAAGAGGCACCATGCCTGCAACCACACCTTGGGTCAGCCCCCATGCTAGCAGTGGGCTCTTTGCCCTGTAGCATGGTCTGGGCCAAGCTCAAAGGGAGCGACTCCCTGTCTTAGGCTGCACAGTGATCCACACTCCTCTCTTCCCACATCTTCACTGCACCCCCAGACCCATCTGCTCAGTATTCCTAGGCCAGAGGCCTGGCTCACCTCCTTATGGGAATCTTTATGGGCTTCCAGAGTCTTCATAATGGTCAGCTCGGCGTAGTTTTTAAATCTTGCTGGCTGGTTTCTCAGAATTTCCCGTAAAACTCTCAGTGCTAGTGCTCGGATGGAATGCTGGAGTGTAAGAGGAAAGGAAGACATTAGCAAGCAACACCCAGTGCTTCACTGAACTTACTAGCTGGCAGCATCCGGCAGGGCCAAGCACCCAGCCCCGAGCTTCCCTGGCACTTTGCTGGCACCTCAACACAGATCACATTGTTTACAAGGCACAGGCTGAGGTGGATACCTCCATGAGGCAGGCGCTGTGCTGATGCCGACATTCCCAGGACCCAGCACCTGAGAGGGACCTGATGAAGGTTTCTGGACTGAGCCAAGTGAGGACCAAATGAGACCAAATGAAGATGATGCATCTAAGTTCATTATCAATCTCCTGGGGAATGTCCAGATTTCCTGAGGCTTAGATATGCAAATTACCCTTTTGTAAAAGTTACAAAAAGAACAGGCAAAAAGTATGTAACCATTTCATCCATACGACCTTTAAGACCTTTAAGACTGCGGACAGAGAGAGCACTGCAGACCTGTCCTTACTCTTGACCTTCTGTGTGCTGAGATACCAAGGGAAGGGAATGTGTACACGCCTTGAGCTGTCTGAGGCCCGAGACTCACCATTTGGAGGAAAGCCACTGCAAACAGACTCCTAATCTCAATAAAAGAAAATGAGGTTTACACCAAACAGAGCCAAAAAGTACATCCTGCTTCTTCGTCACTCATCTGTACAGTTCACACACTAACACACCATCTACCTGCCCTCTACACGACATCACTTTATCACCCAACAAAGCCTGACCAAGCAGATATGCTTCGGCAGCCAATACTTTGTTGTAAGGGAAGTTAATTCAGCTTTTTTGTCACTGTACTTCTTGTGTACTCACCCCTACACCAAACCATTAACCCGAAGCATCAGAAAGAAATCAGTCATCATGACACTCCCCAACCCTCCAGCACCTGTCTTCCATCAACGTGACCCCAAGATGATCTTTACCGTGGGCTGTGTTGAGATTCCTCCAAATCCACCTGGTCCTGCCCCTGAACTCTTCACCACGCTGGTTTCATTGCTACCTCTGCCAGCTGACACAAAGCCCGGGGCAGAGATAGACTTTTACATCTAGAGTTGAATATAGACAATTCCCAACATATGTTGCTGTCTCTGTATAAGCGATGAGCACTCAGATGGGAGAAGGCAGGGCTCTGACCAGGTTAGTCCTCCTTTCAGAGTCATCTTGCACAGTGCCATGTGTGGATTACAGACCAGGCACGGCACAAATGCCTCACGGGCCACGTTTAAATGTCACGGTGCAAAGAGAGTTTTTTATTTTGAAAATAATAGAAGATATCTAACACTCGTTGCTTGACCAATGACGATGACTGGCACTGCTCATATATGCAGGGCTGAATCTACACAGAATTTCATGGACGCAGCATCCAATAGGGTCTTTTAAAAAATGAACTTCCCTCTTTCTTAGTCACACATGAAACAGAAAAAAAGCTCACTGTGAAAAACCACTCCATGCTAACAAAGTTGCAAGAAATTTGGGTTCAACAAAGTAACCTAAAGCAAGAACAGGTTTTCTCCCAGGTCCTATCTGGTTACAGAAAACACTTGCATATAGTAAGCCGGGAATGGGGCCTCTCTCTGACAAATGTTTTGATGTCAACAGTAGGCACAATACAGAAGATAAAGTCGAAGCCAAACACAAGGATAGCAGGACTCAATAACCTGTCCCATGGGAAGGGGGAATGTCAAGATGAGGAAGGGGCCGGGCCTCACATCTTTATCCCCGAGCGTCTCCAGCAGCAGGAGCAGAATGGTCTTGAAATGTTCCTCCCAGACGCCCAGGCTGTCTTCCCGGGTGATCTTGAGCAGCTCCAGCAGGGCGCCTTTCCGTTCCTCTACCCGCTCGTTGTGGTTGGACAGCTCTTTCAGGAGGTCGGCCACCAAGTCAGAATGGTCAATGGGCACTGAAGAGAGAGCAAAACAAGTCCCGTCACCAGACATGTCCCCAGGAAACACCTGGCCTTGGTGATGCCCAACTCCCCTCCATCGCTCCCTGCTCTCCGGAGGCAGCCTCTCCTCCATCACTGCTGCCATGCTCTCCACTCTGCTTGGTACCACTTCACTCTTTACACCCTCTTTACACCACCTCACCAAATATAGAAAGAGATGTGAGAACAGGTATCAAGTACCAATACCAACATTTTTACCCTTCCTTTCCATCTTTTGCCCCCCTCTTATTTCAGAAAAACAGAAGGAATCATCTAAAAGTCCTTCCCTGGGCCTTGTCAGGACATGTGTCTTCTGAGGCCAGGGACTGTGTCTCATTTGCCTCCTTGTCCCCAGCAAGCTATAACACTTCATGGCACACAGTGAATGCTAACTCTCGAGAGTTCTAATTTAGGGTTCTGATTTAATCCTCCATTCAGAATTGAAAAATAAAACAAAAGGCTTGGGAACAAAGTGCATATATATAACTTTTTAAAAAATGGCTATTAAATGAACGTGACAATCAGGTGAAAAGGAAAGAATTAAGTTCCTGATAAAAATACCATCTTACCAATGCACTTTACTCACTTGTTACTCAACAATGGACACTGGTCTTAACACAAGTGTCAGAAAACAAAATAAGACAGCAGACTAATTCTGTTCCATATCAAGTATGTTATATTTGGGTAAGTCATTTAAGCTTTCTGAACCCTTAGTTTCTTAACCTGTGAAATGGGAAGAATTCCCTCTATCCCATTAGATCTATATGTAAAACACGGAGTTGGGCAGCAAGCAGATGGAAATACAGGAGCTCAGTATATGCTAGATCCCCTGTCTCTGAACCTCAGGACAGAAGTCAGCCTAAAGCAGCTCCAGGAAGATCTGGTGAAAATGCTGGTGTGAGAAAGGAGGCTCTCAGTGGTGCTACAGGATCACATTCCCATAGTTCCCATAGGGAGAGTGCATAGCGGGGCCTCTATGAACGCGGAGCCTGAATGCTGAGCCTGTGCTGGGCTGTCTTGTGCCTTTGCTGCCAGAAAGGAGTATCTAACTACTACTCCCCTTGTGCTTCTGACCTCCACTCAGACCCTGGCTCCCTGGGGAAGCCTTCCCTCCTGGGTACAGCTGACCTGCCTTCACCACACAGTGTCACAACTCCAAGTTTAGGTCAGCTGTGTGACTCCTGTTTCATGACTGCCTCTGTGAGTGGTCTGTAAGCTTCCAGAGGGCAGACACTGTTCCTTCCATGGCTCAGCACACGGTAGGAGCTCAATAAAATAGTTGCTGAACAAGCAGCTAACCAGAACAGATCAAACAAATCATTTAGGTTTGCCCTGTCCACCCCAAGCTGCTCTGACAAGAGGAGAAAGCCTCAAAGAAAGTACTTTCAGATGGAGGGGAATCAAGTAAAAAAAAAAAAAAAGACGAACCATCTCGAAGCTGCTCCATGTCATCATCAAACACGGCCTCCTTCAGGGCTGTCTTGTCATAGGTGTTGATGGTGTCGGAGTAGGGATAGGGATTATAGTCTCGCACTCGCGGCCCCGGGAAGGCACGTGGAGGCTGGGTGTTGAGGAGGGATGTCTTGTTATCCAGAGCCGTTCTGCCTCCTTCCACCACATCGCTGCCTCCCCGACCCTCAGTGGCAGGCGAGGCAACTCCACCATCGCGGGACACCTGGAGCACAGCACGTGGTCAGTTCCTCTTTAGGACTTTTACCAAACTCTTCCTTTACATTTTCAGAAGCATCAGGAGAACCAGATCTCTCACTTGAAATCTGGCCACCAACAAAGGGACAGTTACGAGGGCTTCAATCTGCAAACACCTAATGCATAAACTACCTTAACAGGAACCGAGTATGCTTATGTTTTCATCTCTTCATTCATTAAATTACACATACAGTCTGACTGTGTACTTGGTGATGACTTTTATGAACACATTTCTCCCAGAATCTCATGTGCCAGCACTGCTGCCCATCACTTTCTTCATGAGCAGCAGGGTTTTCTCAGTGATGCCCTGATACATCACCAATGCTAGATGCTCTCCGGATTCTCACCACAAGATCTAAAAGCAGCTCAACCATTTGTGAGCTCCTTTTACATATTCCCCCAAAAGTGGTGAGCCAAATAATGCTTACTAATCTCTAGCAGTGGGGAGCTCAATATCTGAGAGGCACATCCTCCCCCGGACACCCATGACTCTTGTTTAGGCTTTGTTGGTATTTTCTGAAATTTTTTCTTCCTCATATATTCTGAGACTCGTCCTCAATGAATTCACCCCCTGGTGTCCTTTGGTCCTTGTATCATGTTTCTGACTCCCCACTCCTGAGGAGTGCTGCCTGTCTGTCTGGTTCCCTTTGCAGGGAGGTACTATAACCAAGCATGGGCTGACTGCTGGGAACAAAGCAAAGCCTTCACTTCTCCTCACCCCCCACATTGACTATGTAACAATGGTGGAGCCATATCCAGGCAGCTGGGCCACACTGGTGATTCTGGTGGCATGTTTTTCACTTGTGCTGCTGACAAGACACATCTCTTTCATCTTGTTTGTATGCATTTTTAAAAATTGTGGCAAAAAAAAAAAAAGCCAGTTTAAAATTGTGGCAAATTATATGTAAATCATTTTAATCATTTAATTCATAGGTACAAAGACGGTGACATTAAAAACAGTCATGATGTTTTGTAATATTATATGTTGGGCAAACCTGTTCATTTTCCCCAACCAAAATTTATACCCATTAAATAATAATTCCTCGCCCTTCCTGGCCCTGGTAACCTCTACGGGTATCTGTTCAAGTCCCTTCTTTCAGTTCTTTTAGACATACATCTAGTGGAACTGCTGGGATACATTAGGTATTAAGTAATGCCAAACAAGATTTTATGCTATTAAGATCTAAAAAGGATATGTAATATATGGGTAGACATGAACAAAATAAGACTTCAGGCTTTTCTCTCTATAGGAAGATGATTCATGGATGATTTAAAAATTTTCTCTTTGGAACTCTCTTCTCAAAGTAAAATAGATATTATTGTAATGAAATAAATTAGAAAAAGAGAAAGGTTTTAAAAAACTTGAGACATTTAAAAAATAAAGCTAAACTATCCTAATTCTAATCACTTTTAACCAAAAGAAAACAAAACAAAATCTTACTTTTTAAACTTGTGTATTATCCCAGTCCTTATCTTCATGCAGATTTTGCAGAGTGGGGATCACAGAGCACATACTCTCATATATTTTGCTTCCCTCGCAGTATAAAGGTCCCATATAAATATTTCCATTTGTATCCTAATAAGATTTACTCAACTATTCCCGTTTTTTAAAAAATGTTCCTGATTTTTGTCATTATAGATAATGCTGAAATAAGCTACACTGTAAATAATAACTTTCTTTCTTTTTGCTGAGTTTGTTATTTAGTATAGATTGCCAAATGTTAGATTACTGGATAAAGGATATGGAACTTAAAATGACTTAGGCTGAGGAGAGCCTGGGAGGCTCAGTCAGTTAAGTGTCTGATTCTTGGTTTTGGCTCAGGTCATGATCTCAGGGTTGTGAGATCAAGCCCCGTCTTAGGCTCCAAGCTGAGTGTGGAGCATGCTGAAGATTTCTCTCTCTCCCTCTGCCTCTGTCCCTTCACTCCCCTACCTCCCACCCCCAAGCTCTCTATATCTCTTTAAAAAAAATCACTTATGGTAAATATAATTTAATAAGCTCCAAAGCAATTATATCAAGTTCCTGCTTTTGGGAACCATCTTCCTGGTGGATCTGACATTTATCCTTACAGATGTCTGTCTTAATAGCCTGGTCACTTACCAAGCCAAAGAGACATACTAGTTCCCAAATCTTTCACACTTAATGCATTTTTATATCCACTCTAGCTTCTTTGCTAATACTTTGGTAATCAGCAGCTAAAATGCTGAGTTTCGAAACTGCTCAACAATTCAATTTCCACTTCATCATATTTAATGCAGATAGAAAATAACAATCAATGTCCAATGGAACCCTTTCACTCCACACCTGACTGGTCCCTCTCTTTGGCTATTCCTAAAAGTCTCCCTTAAGTTCTTTCACCATACTATACTATCCTGGTCTCCCACACAATAACCTGTTGCTTTTCTCCCAACTCCTTAGCGTTGATGCTTCTTTGGATTTTGTCTGTACCCTTTTTACTTGGTTGATTTTACTCACTTTTTAGTTTTCATCAAGCAACTAGTCAACGCCTCTCAAATCTCTATCCCCTACCCGGATGGCCAGCCTAAACTCCAGACTGGTATCTGCAAAGACCTCTGGAATATGTATGCTCAGATATTCCATGGGTCCTCCAAGTCACACATATTCACAACTCAATTCATCATGTTCCAAATGGACTAATAGACATTTTTTCTCTTCTTCTGGGATATTATCTCACTGAACTGCCCCAGCACTTGAGTCCTAGTCAGAGATATCTGACTCTAATATTTCAGATCATGTCCTACCTACCCCTACTTCCTCCAGACTCATTCTCCATCTCACAGGGGCAACAATCTTTCTAAAATATAAGTGTGACCATGCCACTTCCCTGGTTACAGATCCCTCAGAGACTCTCTGGTGACCCCATAGGAAAGCAAAGACACTGGCAGGAAGTCCCCTGGGTGTGAGTGCCCTTCCTGAGCCAACCTCTGCAGCTCCTTCCCCAAACCTCACCACCAGCACAACACACTCGCCCTTTCCACTGCAGCCCCCCCCCAGAGGGAAATCCTGTCATGTCCACAGCACCTCTGTTTTCTCATAGCTGCCCCCCGCCATCTGTCCAGACAAAGTCCCTTGGACCCTTTGCTTCAAGTAACTCCGAGGGTGCGACCATCTCTCCTGTTGACCCTTCTCAAGCACCAAGACTGGCCCAGCGTGTCTCTTCAGTACTGAAGCCTGACCACCCTCTGCCTCTGCATGAGACGAGCACTACCAGAAAGCCATGTGGGTGTCCAACTCAGGCCTGTTATTTCTATCACATCTCAGAAGCAAAACTATATGTCCACGGTAAACAAAAACCAGACGGGAGAAGGAGGTAGTTGACATTTTTCACAAAGACAGCTGAGGGTTACTCAAAATTTTATGAAGTTGCTTTGGGCCTCTTAAAATAATGCTATTCTAACTACCAGATAAAAGTAACAATGAAGTTCAGTATTCACAATGGTCAGTCTTCAGATTTATCACTTAATTGAAATACAGTTCTCTGCTAGCCTGGGGATACTTACAGTATCACAGTCCTTCTTGCCATCTCTTTTAATTGGCTCGTTCAGATCCTCTTGACTTCGAAAACTAAACTTTTCAATGGCTTCTGTAACTCCACGCAGAGAACTATAAATTTCTTCAGAGTTCAGGTTCTCTGTATCATACTCCAGCATGCTAAAGATCAAAAAACAGTGTATTTCTTAAATTAAAGCATATGAATAAACTTGAGATATGGGTGTAAAAGACTTCCAATAGTTTATGGAGTAAGGGGTAATTACAGTTTGGTATCTTTAGGTGATTTGTAATGAAAAGGAGACATCTTTTGTTAGAGTGCCACCACTGGACAATGATGTGTTCTTTGTCAAACCAGGCCCCAAACACATTACATTGGCACTCAGTAAGAACCAGTGGGGAACAGCAATCAATAACCACGAGAATGCAAGAACTCAAAGGGTGACAACTGGTGACAATGCACGAGGTAATGAAAGTGGAAAAATAACTCTCATATCTTGAAGATGGAAACAAGAAGTCTGGTTGTTACTGGTCTCAAATGTACAAACAGATTAAGAGGAATGGGCATTTCAAACTAAAGCTAGTATTAAGCAAGTTTCAGAGAAGCAAAGCAAATGACCTCACAAGACGGGGTTATGCTTATCAGTATCAGAAACTTATGAAATAAAACCCTACATTCAAAAAATGATTCCAAGTCAGATCCACCCTACTGGAGGGTTCCTGACAGTTTCTTGTGCCATCTAACCCAGGGTCTTGCTGTGAATACCAACTCTTTCAAGATGTTTAAGTTTATGTGTTTTATAAAAAAATCAGATCTTATACAGATGAGTCACATTCCTAAAGGGATGTCTAAAAGTATTTCAGAAAGCAAGAAATATTTGTCCCTTACAGAAAAGTGATGTCAACTATTGTTCCTTTTGTTGAATGTGCAGAATAAAACACGAAACAAAGCAAAAATCCCAAAGAGCCCTTGGGTGTAATGCAGTGTGTCAACAAGCAGCCTTTAGAGATCTGAAAGGTGCCCTCAAATGGGTCCTGGGAACCAAACCCACCACCATCCCTCACAAAGAATATAAAAGAAAAGCACAGGATAAAGGATAGCAAAAAGAAAGCCAAATAAGTGACAATCAACCAAGGGCAAGTCAAAAAACCTGTGTTAGTTTAAGTGTCACTTGATTCAAGAAAATATCAAGAGATCAGATGAGTCGGTCTAAGTGAACTTACAGAAAGTCTTGAGCTATGCCGAGGATGGCTAGGGCATACTCAAAGAATTCTTGCCTGTATATAAGTAAGCAGTTGACAACATTATTAAAGACTAAAGAAAAGCACTTGTGTGATCTTCAAGAAAAGTAACTGAACATAGACACTCGCCAGCAGGAACCTTTCCTTCAGGCACCACAATCAATCCTATACATTCTCATGAAAGGTTAAGTTTCCTGTAACTTAAAAACAAAAATATATTTACAGCACGCCTGGGTGGCTCAGCAGTTGAGCATCTGCCTTTGGCTCATGGTGTGATCCCAGAGTCTGGGATTGAATCTCACATCGCACTCCTTGTAGGGAGCCTACTTCTCCCTCTGCCTATGTCTCTGCCTCTCTCTCCGAGTCTCTCATGAATGAATAAATAAAATCTTTTAAAATATATATATATATGTACATATATGCATACATATATATTTACTATGTCTGCTCCCTTTTTCTTTCTTTCTTTCTTTCTTTTTTTTTTAAAGGATTGGGCAGATGAGGAAGACAGGATTTAAAAATCCAGGAAGTGGATTTTCTCACTTGGAAATAGCCAGACCTCTAATGCCTCTAGTTTGCAATGATCCAAGTGTTTTCTAAGACTGGACAGGTTCTACTGGGGCACAGCATCTGAACTCAACCTTCACAGATGGGATTTACCTAAAATCGCAGAACTTGCTCAGATAGAACCCATTCTTCTTTTCTGATGAATGAAAGAAAATTCATACTCCAATTGTACTTGGAGAGTTCACAAAAATACATGCCAATTCAAAGACTGGTGCTGGCATCAAACACAAAAAATGTGAATGAACACGTTTACAGCTGAAATTGCATGTATATACTTACAGGAGGCGGAATAAAAAACTTGAATAGAATTCAAGATTTCAACTCCTGTTGAGTTCATAAGGTTATCTGTCTATGAGGCAACATCCCGTTAATGTGAAGAAAGCATGACTGAAGAGCAAGCACAGGGACTCCCAGCCCCTCCGTTATAGAACACCACAATACCAGCTTATGTGGGAACAAAGGCATTTATACATCTGGCCAGTACACTATTTTTTATATATAAAAACTGAGTATGACTCAAACAAAAAATATGCATACAAGATGTAAAAAGATGCCTTAAGATACTTTTAATCACAACAACCAAAAATAATAGCATAGCCCATGCAAAAGGAAAAAAAAAAACTGAAAGAATGACAGATGGACAAGAGGAAGTCTGGCGGAACGTTCAGCTTTTTAAGGGATGTCACAATATTATTTTCCATATGTCGCTTCAGATAACATTAGCTTTCACATAATTCATCTCATTATTCATAACCTAAATGGTCTTAAAATATTTCACTTGAGTTCACAGGACTTTAACATTACTGTATACAGCCTCTTTTCAAAGTAATAAAGGATCCTAGAAGTTACTGTTCCTCCTTCTTACTTTCAATTAATAATCAGGAGTACACATGCATGACCAAGTACAATCTGTGGTGACATTTCTTTTAGCCTCACTAGCCTCATTGAGGTCTGAAGTATATCCTTGGTATGAAGCTAAAACTGTGAGCTCCAGGTGAGAGACAGTATTGTTTTTCTCCAACAGGAAACAGATAATGCTACTTTCTTTGCTAGTTCATGTTTTGGCATTTGTTTTTGTTTTTTTCCCCCCAAATCAATGCCTATGAGCCTTCATTCTGTAGGGGAAACAAGGAAATTCTCATGAAAGCCATCATTGGGGAATCACAGACGCCGTGCTCCTGGCCAGCAGAACGTAAGGGAGCATAGCAAGAAGGATGAAGTGGCTTCACCTATCAGAAGAGGCTTGCTTAGATACAACCTGGACTGTTACCTGCCCCCACATTCTGTCTTGTTTTAGCTCAGAGACATAATCCTTTAGGTTAAAGGCCAGCTCCTGGTCTTCTGTAAACACTCTGATTAGACCCCAGAAAGGTTTCCTTAGAATTCTTTAGATTAGGGAGAGTTGCTCAATTGGTCAATATTCATGGACCCAAGGTCAGGCCATGTCATCCAATACTGAGGCAGAATAGAGATCTGACTTGCCCTGTTGTAAAGGATCCATATCGTGGTCAGGGAGATGTGTGAGGTCAGGTCTCCAAGAACGGAGACTGGAGACAGGAAGTTTGCCTTCTGAGATTTTCCCCTTTGTCATTTTGTTAGAGAAAACACACCAGGAATGGAATTAGGATATAATCATTCCTTGTTACACAATACAGTTTTGGCAGAAAGCAAAGAGACAAAGATTTCCTCTTATTTGTAGGGAACAGATGGGTTTTTCTAAATGTAAAAGTCTCTTATCAATGCTCTCTCCCTCTGATTGTCAACAGAACTTATGGGTACTTATTAGCCTTAGCTGTGTTACTGTGCATGCGTTAAAGATAATTCTGGAAATGAGGTGTCCTCTGGAAGGGAGTCTTGATGGCTGGATGGGAAGAATGGCTGGGCTGAAGCTTAGTGTCTCTTAGGGCACACAGGTCATTGTCCTGGAACACAGTTAATAAATGCGACTTCTACTTTGATGCATGGCTAACCTTTAAAAAAAAAAAAAAGTTTAAGTATGGTGACATGCTTTATTAACATTGACGACAGCAGCTGTCACACTGCTGCTGTGTCCTTGCCCTAATCTTGTGTATCTAGAAACATCTAGTCATTATAGGATTCTCTGTACACTTGGGAAGTTACTTTCTGAGCTATAAGAGTTTCAAAGGAAAGATGTTGTTAAAACATTTAGCTGACTTGTTTATTGTGTACAGCTTCAATGAGTCAAGAATACAAAAATAGGAATGTAAATACATGCAAAAGCTATCTTTGACGCATTCAGAAGTAACAGACCTTCTTCTGTTTTGTTTCTATCATATCCTATCAGAGTACAAACTCATCTTACACAGCCCAGAGGCAGCTGGACTGCCTCATGCTCTGCTGGTGAAATTACAGGCTTCTAGGGAAGGGGTCCTCTGATCTTTGGACCTTTATAATAACCACCTAAGGGACCAAAGAGGTATCCATAGAAATCTGTAGATCCCACTTGGTCCCACTGATTTACCACCTGTCTTCAATCTGAACAAAGGCCCACCCCTTCTTCTAGACTCCTTAACTTTGTCACCTTCCACCAGGGGCTAGCGAGAGAATACTGACTACTCTCTGGCTTAGAGTCAGGGCACATCAATGAAATGCAGCAGTGAACACACTTCTCGGGGCTTCCCTTCAGGATCTGTGTCCTCGGACTCTCACCAAATTGCAGTAATGTTATGCAAGAAATTAGTCCACATTGTCAACAGCAGCACTGAGCACTACAGGTATGGTTGGGAAAGAGCAGGACTCATTTGCTTCTGAGCAGGAATGACCTGTCCTCCTGAGAAGAATAACGAAGAAAACTGTGCCTCTCTTGCCTGCCTTGACTTCATGGCATTGCCCCAGCACCTTCTAGGGGGCTCAGCCCTGCCTCAGTGAGGCCAAAAGGCTCACTATGGTAGGTGCTGCTAAATTTGGTCAGTTGATGAAATGGTCTCTGTCCCTGTGACACAGCAGGAGCCACACTCGTGCAGGTCAACAGAGATCATGCATCTGTTCACACTTCTCACCAAGGCTCTACTCCTATTCGTCTAAGCCAAAGGCTTTCCGAAAGACCTGAGACGACCCTGGAAATGCAATAATATTGTGACACCTCAGACAAGGTTAACAGGTAGTTTGTTACCTGGGAGAGTAAGAGCGCCTGAGAGTCTTGTGGGAGGGAGCGGTGGGGATGGAGTTGGGCTGAGAAAAGGGAGGTGGGTGCTTCGAGAGGCCATCGGCACTCCAACCCCACAACCGACTGCAGTGATCAGAAGATCAGAAGATGAGAGTCAGAGAGAGACAAAACAAGGCAACAGGGAGGGGAGGGGGGGAGGGAACTGGGAATCACTACATCCTCAGCGTCTTCCAGTCTCCTCTTTCCTTGACCAAGCTCTGTCAAAGTTAACTGGAGCAAAATTTATTCTTCACCATACAGAGAAAATGAACAAAGTTTTTTACAATTTAGCCTGCAATAAGGCTGCTTATTTTCTTTCCCTTCTCAGTCATGTGTTACATTTTTTAAATCATGAGATCATGAGATTCCAAGTGTAAAAGTGTATATGTGCGTGTGTGTGCACACTGGGAAGAACATTATGAGCACTTACATACAAATATGTTCAGTTTCAGATAATGCAATCAATTGTTGTTCTATAAAGAACCAAAGAAGGAATTTTGGGCCTTAATTCAAACGGGACCCAAGGGACTACAGCAGGAAGACTAGAGAACATGCCTTTCTGACCAGAGCACTCAAGCAGTGGACAGTGTGCTCCCTGAGGCCGGGACCCAATCAGATGGAGTTCAGAGGCTGCAACCAGTAATTTCCTTCTGGAAAAGTAAAAGAACCACTAGAGGGCCAGAGCACCAGGTCTCAAAAACACCTGAACTCCTCTGTTCATATCACCTAATTCTAGAATTAAAATGCATCTGAGAACACAGGGATATCTTTTCACCTTGTAAATGTCACCCAGTGGCCTGGGTGTGCAGAGGCCCGGACCAACAGTTCTAATAGCTGCTGCAGTTCAGAAGAGCCACAGGCACTGGGAGAGGTGTGAGCTGACCTGGCAGGAAATGTGACCTGAGGCCCAAAGTGGAGTCATAGCATCAGAGACCACATTCCCAGAAGCAGCACTGCCTGAGGCTGGCTATAATCATGGTCCTAAGAGCTAACCTCTGCCAAAGACAGCTGTGGCCTCATTTTGTAAGGTAAACAAGTGTGGAGATGAGAGGTCAGCATGGCATAGGCATACAAGGGCCCAAAGACCTTCTCTGAGCGCCACACTGAGTCCGGGTGGAGGTACAAGAGAACTCTGGTGACCATCTGGGCTGGAGCTCTGCTAACAGGGAGAGCATAAAACAGATGTACCACCATCTCCACTACTTTTGAGAGGCTGGGTCTCCCAATTAATCCCCACTTTGCTTCCACAGAAATCGTGATCCTAAATGCAGTGGGTGTAAAATCCACCTAAAATTACCCTGTATTGCGAGAGGTCATCTAATTAGGATCACTCTGCTCTATAACAGGTTTGCCAAGAATGTACAGCAGAGAGGGATGAGGACTGCTGTCTACTTTGTGATCTCAAAGGGAATCGATGTGATGTGATTTCTGAAGCCCTTTGCAACTGTTTTTTCGCTTTTACTTTTTAATTTAAATCCAGTTAATTAACATATAGTGAATTATTAATTTCAGAGATAGAACTCAGTGATTCATCAGTTGCATATAACACCCTGGGCTCATTATATATCAGGTGCCCTCCTTAATGCCCATCACCCAGTTACCCCATCTTCCCACCATACTCCATCCAACGACCCTCAGTTTGTTACTTGTGATTTAGAGTCTCTTATGGTTTGTCTCCCTTTCTGATTTCATCGTTTTTTAAGATGATTCAAAAGAATGGTAGCTCACAGGAAACAGATGCTTCAAGAGTAGTGTTCTTGAAAAACATCTGCAATCACATGTGATAATAATGTATCTACTGCCGCCTCAGGAATGGGGTAACCCTAAGCCCATTTTCCTATTTAATGCAAAAGTTCTTAACTTTCGTAATTTTCCTGGTGAAATATTTCTAGTTGTATAACGATGGTAGGCCATTTTTCCTACTTCTGGACAGTTTTAGTTGTGAGAAAAATCACATCTACTGAGTTCAAGTTGTTGGCTAAGGCCATATGGCTCGGTATTCCCTGACTGAGGGCACATTAGTTTTAAAAAATGAAGAGACCATGCAATTAAATAATTCCCTAAAGCAGAATTTGTTGCCAAGAAAATATTTAGGTCACACTTGGCCTTAATCTTGAAAATGATATTAATATTGAAAACAAACGTTTTCATATTTTCCACTGACCAGCAACCTTGACAGTAAAAATTAAGACCAGGCCAAATAAAAATAAATGGTGACTCGGAAAAATAAATTTTTTAATAATCTGGGGATCCATGAAGATTAATACTGAACCAATTTTTAGCTCTGATGGATTACACTAGCAGCCCCCACCAATCTTTTACTTAGACCAGTAGCACATAAGATAATAAAGTACTTGAGTTTTACCTTTTGCTTATTACTACCTAAGGGATATGCCACCCTAATAGTAAAAAAACTAAAGATAAGAAGTATGAACTGTGTTATTATGGAAAAGCAGATTTCCCAACTAATGGTGTAGAAGTATTACTTCTAAACAAAAGCAACCATTTACAGAGAATTCAAGTTTTCTATAAAATACCATCCCCCATTCCAAGAAAGAGAACTCTGATTTCACTGTTATCACTGGACTCTGTTCATTTAAGACAAGTCATATACTTTAGATACAGATATTAATATGAAAAAAAATAGTTGGTTGAGCCTCAGTCACACCTGGGGAAAGTCAGACACGTTTTCATTCGCTTCTGATATCAACTAATTAATTCTGACAGCCTGCTAAAATCATGACAACACACACCGAACTTGGGAAGACATGACATCATTCTTCATTCTACCTAAATACAGTACCAGGGGGATTTAGGGGGATTAGAAATAAGGCAATATCAACAGTAGGATACTATAAGTATACAAAATATTTTGTTTCACCAAGAGAAAAATACAAATTTGATATATTCCAAATATTTATATGACACCTTGAAGAATTAAAGAGAATTTTATTGGTAGGGATGGAAGATTTGGGGAGACTCTTGATCACTTAAAAATCTAAAATAAATTTAAAGGCACTCATAGAAAAAAAAAGGCACTCACATTTTGAAATTTTCCTACCTTTAAAAGGAAAATGGCATTACTTGTGGTATTTTCTTATTATCTTGGTACCAACAACCCTTAAGACACAGCGCCTTGATTCTTGGGGCCAGGGATCGCAAAGATCTGGACTTATTATAGACAAAACCAGCATGTATGATCCTCACAGGTCCGAGTACTGTGAAATCTGGCCTCTAGGGCCACTCAGTGTGAGGCCAAGGCAGTCTCCAACACCTGCCAGGGGTCACTAAAGCCACCATACAGAGACTTCCAAAGGCTTTGGGGCAAATGGAGAAGTCTAGAGCTCCTGAGACAAAGTCTTTTTCTTATTTTAAGTTGTTATCTCAGACTCTGTAAGATCAATGTTTGCATGGTCCCAATAAAAGCCTGAATATTCTGATCCAATTTTAGTTTTCGGGTTCTTAATACCTCTCCAGAGCAGCAGTCTGCTTCAAATATGAGTCCATGATGACAGCAACTATACTTGGAATGGCTCCTTGGCTGGAACACTACCCCGGGCTATGTGTAGACTAACTATAAGGGATTTACTTAGATGACAATTACCTTCAGGTGCTCCTAGCGCTGAAAGAATAGGTGATGAATTCCTAAATGGTTTTATGTGAAATAGTACTAAATGTAAATTTAGTTTTAAAATCATTAAGTTACTAGGGAGTGCTTAGAGCCAAAAGAATCTCCAAGAACATTCAGTGCAAATTGGCCATTTCACCACAGAAGTCAAGCACTTTGCCCAAAATTGTACAGTTAAGATTTGAGTGAGGACTAGAGCTCATGGTCTCCTGATACCCATCTATATTTTGGTATTAAGCTTGGTCTAAAAACTTAGAAATAGGCTGGATAGACACTGGGGTGCTTTAGTTTCTTCACTTTTGTTGAAATGGCATTACCTGGGAGATAGGCCCCCATGGGAACAGTTGGTGGGTGAGGTCAAGGGGCTGGTCCTGCTGCTGGTGTGTCGGGAGGGAGTCCGGCCAATTGTATTGCTCGGAGAGCCCTGGGGTGAAAGCAGAATGAGCATCATTATTCAAGCGCTTAACAAAGGTTATAGTGTCCCCTTTCCCTTAGCTTCCCCCTCCCCCAAGATTTATTTATTTATTTATTTTAGAGAGTGAGAGCAAGAGCATAAGCAGGAGGGGAGGGGCAGAGGAAGAGGGAAACAATCTCAAGTAGACTCAACAATGAGCACAGAGCCTGATGTAGGGCTCAATCTCATGATCGGGAGATCGAGATCTGAGCCAAAACCCAGTCAAACACTCAACTGACTGTGCCATCCAGGTGCCCCCCCCACCTTTAGCTTTTTAACCCACATGTGAATAAAAGGGCAAAATTTGCACAATCAGGGTGACTTTTTTTTTTTTAAAGAATCATTAAGGCCAATTTAAAGTATATATACACCCAAAATAGATAACTGTCACATAGGGATTCCTGAGGTTGAATGGTTGATATCAGAGCTGGCTAGAATAACACAAATTGGGCATTTTCACTTCCATCTTTATTAGTATGAAAAAATTAAGTAACTCAATGAATAAAAGACCAAGTACCAAGTAAACATTTAACTGGTTGAAAAATCTCACTTAAGAAAAAGGCCATATTTAAATACTAGGTTCACTCATTCATTGGGAATGTGGCAGGATCAGACATGGCCCCATTCTCCAGATGCCCACAACCTACAGAAAGAGAACAAGAGAAAGCTGGCCATTCTATTAGAGCACATCTAGAGAGCAGGGATTCACAGAGATCATGATAGGTACAGAGGTACCAACTGTGACCATGCACTCACCACACTGGTGTTGCTAGCATTCTTGAGGTGGTTATGCAGGAGTTTGGTGGCACCATCCTGGAATGTTTTTGGCAAGGCACCAAGTAACATGGTAAATTCAGGAGTGTTCAATTCAAACAGAGAGATGAGCACAATTTGTGCTGCCTGGAAAAAGAACACTTGATTAATTGATATAACGGAAAATAGTGTATTTTGGTCAAAACTTCCATTAGAATTGTTTTACAAAAATGTTTTTTGCATGAGTAAAGTGAATAAAAAAACAGAGAGGAAGTCTTTGTCATAAAAAACACAAGGAAATAAGATCATCAATTTTAAGTAGCCCTGACTTTAATCTGAATCTATAAAATATGCCCCAGTTTCATCTTCGAGACCTGGCCTTGGATTTCCGTAACATGCTTGTAATAGACCATTATTCTTATGTTGTTCAGTACTAGGTACAAAGCTGATAAATCTGTAAATGAAACAATCCAAGGAGGTGAAAAGGCTGAGATGGTCCACTCTACTAAGTCAGAACTGGACAAGGCTCCCAGTGCATCCTGGAGAGAGTAAGGCTCTATGTGAGCTGCCAATAGGTTATTTGAACAACCACTTTTCCTCAAGCCTATTCTGAGTGACTGGGAAATTCTAGAAAAAGCGTTTAAATACATCTGAAAAACTCCTGTTAGGCCTATGAACTGAGAGACAGAGCGTGGGAAGCCAATCAGTCTTCCATGGTACAAATTAAAAACATATTTTTCTGTTTTGGCAAATGCTCTACTTTTCTTTATTAATTGAGACAATGAATTGCAGGACTGCTGGCAGCAAGGTGGGAAAGCAGTTAGCTGAAGCAACAGTGGCCCAACGAGACTCAGCAAGTTTATGTGCTTTTCTAGGGCACTAAGTAGTAGCAGGCACTCTGAGCTTAAAAAATGATGCCTGAGAGATTATTTCCAAGGGTTCTGATTTAGAAAAACTACGCCAAGAGAAAACTTTAGTAAATAATGGCATTTCTTACACATTTCTGAAGGTCAGAAGAAAGCAAAACACATTATGAGCGTCTTCCGACTGAAAGGATACATTTATTTTAGGATTGCAGTGATTATTCTGGATATTCTCCCCCATGGTATAGGGAATTACAAAAAATGTATTTGCTGAGAAATGCTTTGGAAATAAACACCACAAAATATTTCAGTGCTTTCACAGTGTTAAAATCAATTCTGGATCCAGTTAAGGCAGAATTATTATTTGTGTCCGGAGAAGGAAAAAAAAGAAAATTCAGAGACCCAGATATTTAACCAAAAATAAAAATTATGAAACTTAAAATATCAGTAGAATGTTTTTTTACAGCATCATAAACTACTTTTTAGACATATTGAAAGCATTTATTAAGCACAGCATTGGGCAAAGGTATCTTACTTTTTCCCCTTGACCTCCAAATACAGTCCTTAGTAACCTTTCCATCCAAACTAAATCCGAAGGGGCCAGTGTGTGTGCTTCCATGACACAGCAAAACACATTGTTACTGATTGTATTAAAATATACATCTTTACATTTCATTCTTGAAACATTCTTAATAAACAGTTATCTGAAGGAATCTATTTCACCACTGAGGTAATATATATTAACAGGACCTGTGTATTTGTATAGAAGCAAATCCAAAACTCATGCAAAGTAACCTGTGCACTTAAAAAACCATTTTATTAGATGTTAGAAAAAAATGCATGCAGAAAAAATTATACTTCAAAGAGACAGAAAGAAACAGATGAGTTTTAGCAGGGAGGAAAAAAGTCGTCAATTTAAAATTGTAGGAAAGTTTAGGGACTTATTTTTTGATTGGCAATGGCATTTGAAAATTAGAAAATTTATCAGTATATTTTTGAATCCTATATTTTTATGTGAAATGTGCTACTGTCTCTACTTAAAAAAAAAACAAAAACACATTTCTTTCCAAAATGACTAACTTAAGGGTTTTTCATGAAGCCAATTATAAAATCAGTGGGATCTTTTAGGAACAAGAAGGCTGCAAGATTGTAAGTCTAGAAATTGTGCTAATTCATGGCTATTAATGACTCTTAATCACATGGGAAAAGAAAGTGCAGCAGACTTTCACTTCTGGTCCACTAGAGAAATCAAACAGAAATACGGGGAATTTTGAAAATATAGCTCATTGGAAAGATGGTACATTTACGGTGACTTATACATATAAACAAATATAATTTATTTTTACATTTTCCAAAATGTAAATGATTTTATACAATCTTCAAAAGTCACCCTGTGGCTTAAAGCTGTTTTCAAAGTAAAACCCTTTCTGATGATGTTCAAGCTCCAGAAATGAATAGGAAGTAGGACTTAAATATGTTAAAAACGTTTTACGCCACAGTTTTAAAAAGAGATAAGGTGGTTATGGTCCTAAAATATTTTGCCTACAACCCTCTTAGTGAGACGTCAGCATACTAGAATCCAAGCAAGGAAGAAAACTGGGTTTTATTTATTATTACTATCAATACACTCTCTTTAAAGCTAGTAATTCCAAACACGGGGTTGAGTTGGAGAGATCTGTTGAAAAAAGCCTGGAGCACAGCTCATGTGCAATAATGAATCCAAGAGTGGAGTACGCCACTGTTCCTGTCCCATCACCGAACGCTTCTTGCCTTTCACAAGAGGTGGGGCCAATCAGTGGCCAGACAAAACACTCAAGGTTGCCGCTTTTTCTAATGGACAACTCTAGGGTCACTGAGTTTCAAGAACAAATAGCAACTTACACTCACGCCCCCTATAGGGGAATTTGGTAGGTGAGGGTAAAAGGTCCTTCGAATCTCAATGCCACAGCATGGAAAGAATTGAGACAGGAGATCAATAAAGCTTTGACAAATGCATTGGTACTGGTATTAATTGGGGAAAATTTAAAGTTGGGGAGGAAAAGAAGTTTTCTAATGTATTAAATGATTACTGCTCCCTCTGGATGGTCATTAAAATTGCTTTAGAAAATCACCAAAGAAAGGGTATCTGAAAACACTCAGATTATTTCGTATTTAGTATCCTTCACTCATCTGCTAAACTATGGTAGAGGTCTGCACTCAACACAGCTATGTCTTTGGGCAGGGTGTTAATCATAAAACATGTCAAAACACAAACATTTACACGCACACACGCTCACATAGTATTATATGAATTTTAGGTTTCTTCAAAATCTTTTCAGTGTCTTGACATGGTATCAGTATTATTCTAAAATGCAAACAGTGAAGTATCTTTTTTCAAATTAGTACTTAGTTTAATATCTACCTGTTTACAATTTTCTTCCAAGTTTCCTTCTCCAGGCCCAGAGCAGGTGGAAGCTGACCTAGTGGGGAAATCCTCACCTACTCGACTACGCTGAAGCGGGGACTGACAAACAGGAAAGGCAGTAGGATTTAATGAGAGAAGAAGCAAGTGCTTAAACCAGGGTTATTTGTAAGCTGTGGAAGTATTTGGCTTCTTTTACAAAATCACCTTAGGTATATATATACTCTAACAGCTAAGAATAGGAAGCATAACAATAGTAAGTACCAGTTTCAAACCTCTATCATTTGCTAGGTGCATAATAACCATAATCCTTGCTAGCAGTAGTAGCATTCTTGCCTTACTCGATGAAAAGGTCAAAAATGAGATCAAAAAGGTCAACTCATTTCAGTTACCATTAAGCTGAGCCTCAAATCCTGTTTGATGGGAAAACCCTAGGCTAGGCCACACTGCCTACCTACAATCAGACTTGAAAGTTTTTCAATGAGAGGGGCACCTGGATGGTTCAGTCGGTTAAGTGACAGACTCTTGGTTTCAGCTTAGGTCACGATCTTAGGGTTGCGACTTGAGCCCCGTGTTGGGCTCTGTGCTGGGCATAGAGCCTGCTTAAGGTTCTCTCTCTCTTTCCCCCTCTCTCAAAATAAATAAATTTTTTTCAGCTAGAAATTTCAACTTTTGAAGGCTTCTAACCTCTTCTTGCTTCAGGCAACATCATCTTTATATTCTCTAGGTTTCTTTGCCATGCTTTCATTTACTGCATTTCTCAAAACAACGTGTGGGGGGCTGAATCTGCTATCTCATCTGACAATGTAGGTGCTAAATGTCAGAGAACCAATGTATAATAAGCACACCCAAAGGGATTCTGAATCCTGAAATATAAACACACCATTAAAAATTCAACTGCATCACTACATTCCCTTTGGTTGATGGGGGAAAAAATACCTTTCTAATGCTGGAAAAAGCAGGTTCTCCATTTGTTTCACAAACAGCAGCAGCAAAACCAAAACAACCCTTAAAGAATAAGAGCAAGGGCTCCGATGTATATATATTTTTTAAGATTTTATTTATTTATTCATGAGAGACACAGGGAGAGAGGCATAAACATAGGGCAGAGGGAGAAGCAGGCTCTCTGCGGGGAGGCCGGTTTGGGACTCGATCCCAGGACTCCAGGATCACACCCTGAGCCAAAGGCAAGACAAGACGTTCAACCACTGAGTCATCCAGGTGCCCCAGTGGCTGCAATGTAAATGAAGTAATATTTATCTATGTTTTTTTCTACTGCAATTAGTCCTTCCAATGAAGCCTGAGGCAGGGATTATCATTCTCATTTTATAAAGAACAAACAAGAATTTAAGGTGCTAGAGGTTAAGGTGCCAGCTGCCAGCTCACACCATTACCAAATGGCAGGAGCAAAAGTCAAACGAAAGTCAAATCTAGAATCCATTTCCTATTGCTAATATATTTTCTTTTTTTTTAAGACTTCTTTATTTAAGAGAAAGAGGGCACGTGCACACATGTGCAGTCTTGTGTATGAACTGCGTGGGGGCAGAAGGAGACTATCAAGCAGACTCTGTGCTGAGCGTGGAGCCCAATGTGGGGCTCTATCTTATAACCCTGACATCACAACTTGAACTGAAATCAAGAGTCAGACACTTAACGTACTGAGCCATCCAGGCACCCCACATTATATTATCTTAACACAAACACAGTGCCTTCAGAAAGGTATAATTTGGCCAACATGACTATTCAGGGCTCCCATACCTAAAACACGAACACAGTGACTTTGGGAATAAAGTGGGCCAGTGAAGGTCTGGGTGGGGGTTCTCCTGCTAGTCCCCCCTCAGTCTCAGCCTAAGCATATTCCACTGCTGACTGGCTTGTGTTCTGGTTTTGGCTATGCCTCTTCCCTCCTCTTCAAAACTTCTTAAATATCTAAACACTCCAACACGAAACACCCCAAAATGCTGAGATGAAAAGGGAACAACATAAATATTAAAAATGCTACCAAATGTAGCATTCTGTCAGTTTAAAGTGCTTTTCCAAGTAAGATCCTGTAGAATGAATTACACTGTCTGCCAATTTCCCAGGTATTGTCTGCAGAAAATTAGTATTCTTAGATAGATTAAGGTTTTTCACCAAATTTGGGAAGTTTGGGAAAATATTTTCCCCCCAAATATTCTCCTGCTGGCTTTGAGAAAGCAAATTGCCATGTTGTGGAGAGGGCCATGTGGCAGGGGGTGGTGGGTAGCGTCTCTGAGCTGAGAACACCCCCTGCCGACAGCAAGAAAACAGGCATCTCAGCCCTACTTCCGTAAGGAACAGAATTGGGCTGAGAACCCATGAGCCACAAGAGACCAGATCTCAGGTGAGACCAAAAACCCAGACATCTTGATTTCAGTTTGTTAAGACCTGAGGCAAAGGACCCAGAGACAGTGTGCCAGATTCCTGAATCACAGAAGTGACAATCTAATACATTTTTATAGTTTCAAGCTGCCAAGTTTGTGGTGATTTGGTATGCAACAGAAAACTAATACAGATGTCAAAACAGGGGATTCCAACACTATGGCTTTGAAAATGATGGCTTCAATGTGCTACTTAAAATGAGATCATTTCTCTTTGGACATTTATCATTCGTTAATTAATTCGAAATATTTATTAAATGCCTACTTTGTTTCAACAGGTATTGTGCTAGGTGTTGAATATACAGGGTGGGTGGAAACAGGGAGGTGGGGACCACACAGGGGAGCAGCAAGTCCAGCCCTTGTATTGAAGACACTGAAGATAAGATGTAGGCTGGGACCAAGAGAATTAGTGGCAACCAGGTCAACACAACATTAGCAGGCTGTATGACTTGAAGTTCAAACCCAGGGTAACAGTCTAAAGCAATGGGTCTCAACTCTGCATTAAACATCAGCCAAGAGCAGAGGGAATGAGACCCAAAACACTGTCCATACTTTATACCAATTAGGTCAAATTACCTGGGGCAGAGCCCAGGAATTGAGGTTGATTTTAATGGCAGCCAGGACTGAGAACTACTGCTGTAATAAAGCTTTCCAACTTTTCTGAAGATCAGGCTTACTGTCCCAGAACTTAGGTTTGAACTAATATCTTAATCATATTTGACTTATGCTAGTATTAAAATAAGTTAAGTGTATTGGAGCCCAAGGCTAAATAACTCAAGGAAAAAAGTTACTATAACATCCTGTTTAGAATAGTTAGGAAAATAAATTCTAGTTCAAATTTCTAATGTGCATGTCCAGAGAAAGTGGACATTATGATGAAAGTGTACTGTTTCCCTGCAGGCCCTAATCACAGTTACCTGGAAGTCGAAAATAAGTTTCAGCCCTACAGGAGGGTATATTTAAGTAACATTCAATTTCAAAAGGAACACACATAGACACACATATACTTAAGTGTTATGACAAAGACAGAAAGCTATCCTGAAGGCTTTTGTATTTACTGGCCAATCTTGTGACTTCGAAAATTACAACAGAAATACTGGTTTGTGACTCACATACCAACCAAATCATTCAACCATCCCCTATTGTTCCTCCTTAATCCAACCCTGGCTTAATGGCTAAATTAAAGGCTGCCAGTGAAATGCTCTTTTGATAGTAATTTTGAATGAATACTTGAATAAGATTGGTCCTTGTTCTTTTGACCTTGGACAATTTAGTTTATTACTATACAGTGGACACAGGACTTACATGACCCACAACCCTTTCAAAGAAACCTTTTAGAGAATTCTTCTAATGTCTTTGAACTCCATTAGAGGAAGAGCTAAGTGTTCATTTGCATTTGTAAATACATACTCCTGCCAACTGCTCCTGGAATTCTTCCTTTTTTCCTGCCTGGACTCAAGTGGTCCACATTATCAACTCTGCTTAAGGCCAAAGGAGTCCACTGGTCAGGCTAAACACGGAAGGAGTATGGCACAGAAGGAAAAAAACGCAAGGCTCATGATTATAAACCAATAACCAGAATCAAGTACTTTTAGTCTGAAAGCAGAACCGAGAAAGCTGGCTTTTAAAGAGTGCTTTATAAGGGCTACTCAAGTTTATATATTAAGTAAAAGAATAATGGCCACGGGTGAAACTCAAGAACAGAAAGACACAGACAGGTAAGAGAGAAAGAGAAACAAACACAGTAACTTATACTTGTTGCCTGTTTACAACTTGTCAGGAACTGACAAAGTGTTTTACATTGATAATTAATCTCTGTAATGGTCCTGAGGCAGACTACTACCTAGTAAGAGAAATGGTACCCTGTGTACTATTAGTGTCCCTGGGTACTAGTATATTACTTTGTTATATGCCTCTCAATGTTATCACTTCTGAAGAAAGTAGCCAATAGTTCTCTTCGGTTGATTGAAAAACAACAACAACAACAACAACAACAAAGCATCACCTTGGTGTCCAGGTGGCTCTAAATCGGAATTCTTCCTCCCCATCCATTCCCCCCCCCCCACATCAAAGAAAGTATGTTCCAAATGTGGTATATGATCCAAAACTGTTTGCTCTTTTTAATTGCAGGTATTCCTATCTTAGCAAACTTTGCTCCACATTTTGCTAGGAGGCACTTTGTGGCCATGTAGCCTCAGATCTTCAATTCTGTCCTCAAAGTCCACATCATGAAACTGATACATGAAAAACCAATGGCCTTAAGAGACGCTAAGCTACCAGTGCTTTCACACCTTTGAAAAGAACAAAACAGGTGCCTACGAAAACCATGAACCCCTCATACATGATTTCTGATTTTCATTTTGATGTCAGAAGACTGGGACAAGATGGAACCAGAGAGAAGGTAAGAGGCAAGAGCAAAGACTTGATTTTTACAGAAAAGGAGTGATAAAGGATCCTGTGAAGGTGTATGGGGTGGTTTGCAAGTTTCTAAGTAAATTTCTTTTCCTCACACGTGCCTGAGAACAGTCTGTGTTTAAAAAGCTGCACTCGAGTTCTCTTGGACATACCTTTCTCACGTCTGAACTCTTTGGTTCTGTCGTCCAGGTTATAATTCTAGATACAGCAAGCCTCGTCTCACTAGAGTTTACAAAGTCTGTTGGATCCATCTGCCGAGCGAGGGACTCAATGTACTTCAGGATTGCAACTTTGACCTGAAGGATCCAATAATTATAAACAATAAGTACATTTTACAGATCTTTGAATAGAATTTTGAACTGAATTTTGATCAGAAAAAAGTAATAATATTGAGGGAACACCCCCTCTCCCCTGGATTCATGTTTCCACATGGAGTGGCATCTGCCAGGGACAAAAGCATGAAATGACTGATAGGTAAGTTTGGGAACAGGGTGAGTGGCATATAGCTCAACTCTCTTCAGTTTTAGACTGAAGGTATGCTCTGTTCCTCTTGTATGCGCAGGACAACTGCAGGGCATGAGCCCCCATGGGCAGGCTGCAGGATTTCCAGCTCTGCCACTGACCAGAAGTATTTAGTTTTGTTTTTTCATACATCCTCAGTCATGTCCTGCATGGTAGCATTTTCAGCGATCAAGCTGATACTCTACCCCAACTATTCCATGGATGCTTCAATTAGCTTTGACCTTTGGAGAAGGGGATTATTATTTACTGGGCCTACACTAAAATCCCAACAAAAGTTAATGATTAAAGAACACATGATGTACATGACCAAATTCAAATTAACACACATCCTTCCTCAAATTCATTCTTGTTATAGTTATGATTTTCCAAAGTATGTAATTAACAATTAATTTTCATGTGTTAAAATGTTAATATTGAAATCATAACATTCCAATAAGATACCTTATCTCACCACATCAGAACTTTCTAGTTTAAATAGTAATAATACCCAAATGTGGGTGAGGATGTGGAACTGGTGCTTCCATTATATTGCTGGTGGGAATATCATGGATGGATGTGGTACATCCATTTCAGCCATTTAAAATAAAGTATATACCTACCCAATAAACCAGCAACTTTTCTCCTATGTACTCAACCAAGAGAAATGGAAACATGTTACCAAATAGTTGTACAAGGATGTTCACAGATTTATTCATAAGAGCCAAATAGGAGTCATGAACAAAAAAAGTATATTTTAAGCAAATTCAACTTCTAGAGGTTGAACTCTAATGACAAATAGGTACCAACCTTGAGGTTAGGAGTTTGAGTTTGATCCACAATAAATCTCATCAAAATGTTAAATTGTTGATCAAATGGAAAGGAGTCCCTAGGTTTAAGAGAAGAAGAAAAAGTGCTCATTTTGAAAGAAAGATTTATTGCAAAAAGTAATGTAAAACCGTATCAGTAACAAAAATACAACACTGTGGATGAATCAAATGTATATAAAAGCAAGCCTGACCTTAGTTGACAAAGTTTACTAATCGTGCTTTTCATTTCATATAAATACTAGAGTGATACACATTATATAGAAAATTCAGAAAAAGGGAAATCTTGCCAAAAGTCCCCGAACACACACTATACTTACTTTGAGTTATGCTATTTTAAAAATGGAGACCAAGCAATTAACTAAGAAATTTCCTACCTGCCTTCTAGGGACCTGCTCATCTTCTAACTACCTTTTTGAATACTGCTTCATGAGAAGCACTTCCAATCCAATCCCCAAATCTGAATTTACATCCTGACTGGGCTGCTTAGCGCTAACCCTGCTAAACCTAACCACACTGTCCTCCTTGGTCCCACTATGGACCTGCCACAGGTCCTCTCAAGTGACTGTGGGAGACCCAGCAAGGAACTCCTCATCCAGCTACAACACACATGCAGAAGCCAGGGCCCTCAGAACTTCTGGCCTGTTCCTGATCTCATTTCTTGTAGCTGCTTCACATCTTTGATATAATCAAGTAACCCCAAGGGCTCCTGGCTAGCTGAAGTCTGTGCTCTCTCCCCTTAAAGTACTGCAATTAACTACTATTAGTTTAAAAGTACAGAATGGTGTCCACGTAGGAAAATGCAGACACATCTTCCACACTAATGGGAAAGACAGAGCAAAGCACTGGAGCTGAATGCACTATATTCTTCAGACTGACTCACACTGCATATTAATTAAAGAAACAAGGTCGACAAACCACACACAAAAGGCCTCTCTTTTCTTCTGCAGCAAGGGAAGAATGGAGAATCCACTTAGGTATAAACTGGTGTGTTTAATCTGGAAATGTGCCCATGGTTAGGCATGGCCACAATCAGGCATGAAGCAGGAACCCCTCTCGGCCAGCACGGAGACCCCACCCCACCACCCCATACTCACTGACTGATCCTATATATGCTTAAAAAGCTAGACATCTCAGCTCCTGAGGAAACAGGAATGATGAATGTGTTCTAGAGACTTAGACTGAATCTACCCAGAAGAGGATTCTTAAATGGAAGAAGCATCCAGAAAAAAAAAACAAGAGGGTTTTCCTTCATCACCAAAGTTTAGGAGTAGACTCTTAACATTCTTGCCATCACTAAAACTATGAATGGTTTTTGCCATTCATAGATTCACCTATAGTAAGGAAGCGACCTTTAGGCCTTTAGTCTGGTTCACAAAATGTTTTATCTGCCTTTCAGAATGTCATTAAAAACAACAACAACAACAACAACACCTCAAATATGTTGCCTTAATCCACATTTCTGACCTTCCTTGGTAAGTCTGGTACCACGGGACCCACCTGTAACATGCTCGGTGGCAGCTCTCCAGCCTATGCATCATCATCCCTCCTGTCTACCCTCACTCAGTTATTATCAGCTCGGTAAGCCTCACCTCTTTAATCCCCAGCTGAAGCTTTACAAATCCACTGAAACACTAGTATGGAGGTATGTTCCCTGACTCCACTAAACATACTCAACCAAAGCAGGAGTGGCATTCCAAAGACTTATTATATAGTATATTACACTGAGCTCACTGAAAATCAAAAGGAACTTATCTAGGTAATAAAATTCCACAGTGGCACAAATGAATGTGAATCTAAAGGGTCAGGGACCAAAAGAAAACAGGTGGCATCAGAGTACAGAGGAAATGTACATTTTGCAGAGACATCTATCAGACACATGCATGGGGGATGACAGCAGGACGGTGTATGCTACTGTTTATAGAGGGAACCAGAGAGGAAGAAAAAATGCAAATACTATCCACATCCTCCTACAGGAGAGGAAGATGCACACCCACAGGCCAGCCGGCAGTCAGAGGAACAGACAACGGGGCAACAACCAGCGGTCCTGGTTGCAGACCCCAGCCTGCTACTAAAACAAAGTGTGACCTGGGCAAGTCAAGTCAAGTCAGTTTCCTCATTCATAAAATGAGGAAGGGTCCTTCCCTTTTGGCAATTCTGATATGCAGTAATTGTCCAGTGAATAATAACTGGGTCATATAAACGTTACTGTATGGATGGCAATCATCAGCCCTGGAATTGTGTGTTTATTCTTTTAAAAATTCCTTGATCTGACAACACAACCCTCTATCTTCCACCAAATCACAATGAAGACATAGCCAAGTGTCTTCTGAGGTCATGTAAGTTCTAATACTTGTATGCTGAGGACCTACAGCTGCAGAGGTAGTAGATTACAAGTCTCAACAATGATAGCACATAGTTTTTCACACACCTCTGAGTCTTTTCTGAGCAGATTTTCTCTTTCTTCCTTAACAACCAAAGGGTTACAAATACTATGTTAGCAATTTCCGAGCCAATGAATGCTAACAGAGATTGTACCTGGACAAAAGGTACATCATACCTAACTATAACTAGACAAGTTTCTAGTGTGACTTATAAGAAGTTGAAGTATTAAAAATTCTGAAGTCTTCAAAAGGATGTAAATACTCAAATGTCTTTTATAGAGAAGATAATCAATTTACAGGCTTTATATTTGCTTTTATATTTGTCTTGAGTGTTCACGAAAATAATACCAGCTCAAGGAGGGTATGAGTATTTAATCTCATGGAATACAGGGACATTTCAACAAGTATGCTAACAAGAGAATGTGGAAAATGTGTAACAGAGTACTTATTCAAGCAGATGACAAAACCATGGGCAACAAAATAGCAAAAATCCACCTATGAGTGGGTTTTTTTTTGGTAACATCAACACGGGCTAGGCCATGTAAACAGACATTTTCCCGAAGACAGCCAAATGGCCAACAAATACACAAAATGTTCAACATTACTATTAGGGAAAATGCAAATCAAAATTGCAATCACCTCATACCTCCTAGCTATTATCAAACAAAAAGTCAAGAAGTTGGTGAGAATGTAGAGAAAAGGGAACCCCTCTGCACTGTGGGTAGGAATATAAATTGGTACAGACACTACAGAAAATAGTACATGTTCCTCAAAAAATTGATAATAGAAACATCATATAATTCAGTAACTCCACCTCTGGGTATGAATCCAAAGGGGATGAAACCACTATCTCGAAGAGCTACCTGACCTCATGTTCACTGTAGCATTACTCACAATAGCCAAGATATGAAACAATCTAAGTGTCTGTCAACAGATGAGTGGATAAAGAAAAACAACAGAATGTTATTGGGTTATAAAAAAGAAGAAAATGCTGTCATTTGTGACACTGTGGATGGGCCCTGAGGGCATTATGCAAAGTGAAATAAGCCAGAGAAAGACAAATACTGCATGACCTAGGTATACATGGAATCTCGTGCCATTACCTCACTCCCAAAAGCCAAATCCATAAAAGCAGAGTAGAATGGTGATTGCCAGGGGGTATGCGTTAGGGAAAATGGGAAGATGTTTGTCAAAGGGTATAAGCTTCCAGTTACAACATGAATAAGCTCTGGGGATCTAAAGTACAGAATGGTGATTACAGTTAACAATACTGTATTATTATGCACTTGAAATTGCTAAGAGAATAGATCTTAAATGTTCTTGCCACCACCACAACAAAAGAATGGTAAAGGTGAAGGATGTGTTAACTGTGTAATCATTTAGCAATATACAAATATATCAAATCATCACATTATACACCTCGAACTGACATTATATGTCAGTTATATCTCAAAAGCTGGGGGGAAAAATGATCTGTCCTCTAAAAAACTCACCTCGTGACATCTAGAGCCTTCTGAACTTTTGCTTGCACAGATCCAAGTAAATCTGCTCCCATTTTCTTAAGTAATTGTGTGAGAAGAACAAAAAGCCAGTCTTGTAAGTCATCCTTGTGAATTATTATAAAATCCACAAGAGTCTCCAAAAACATACTGAAAACCTAGGCACAAATGAAAAATCAAACATTTCACATATGTAATTAATCATTTCCCCCAAAGTCTCTATTAAAAATGTACTGGTCATATTAGAGAAGACAAATATATTTTAAAAAATAGATAAAGGAAAAAGGATTGGAACTTACTCTCTGTTGTGAATTCCACGGCAAACCAGGCCATGCAACAAAACAAATTCCATGTTAGTCCACAGTGAATTAATACCATTTTCATGCAGTTTTTAAAAAGACCTGAAAGCCTTTAGATTGCTACTCTGATACTTTCCCCTCCCTCAATATGCCTTCAAAACTCAGTACCAAGAGAAATTAACTTTGCTGAAAGATGTTAGTTTAATCCTGGGGGCTTCTTTTCTTTCTTTCTTTCTTTCTTTTCTTTCTTTTCTTTCCTTTCTTTCCTTTCTTTCCTTTCCTTCCTTCCTTCCTCTTTAAAAAAAAAAAACTTAACGATGATAATTCCATACTACTACTGTCCATTATCTAGAATTCAGCAAGTAATGTTACATGATGAGGGAGGAAAAAAAATCTTGTGCGTTGTAGATTTCGATGTATGCCAATTCAGATATTGTAAAGTAATATGATATAAAAACATATTATAAAAGTCACCGTCTTTACAAAAAATTACAGCTTAGAATAAAATATACGGTCCACATAATTCTCATGCTGCTGTGCGATCATTAATGCTGTATAAGCTGAGATAAGGGCCCACAGTGGGTGATCCCTGAACTGATTTCAGAGAGATAAGTAGCACTGTGTCCCCTATTTGGCTAATGCATTGTCCTCTACTGGGACAACCCAGCCATTATACACCTATTCAGTTCTAGCACAGCAAACTATAAACCACCAGGGGTCTCCCGTGAGACAGCTCAGAAAAAACTCAATGAGCCCCCAGCTGTGGGATTCCTGCTTAGCTCAAAGGCAGCTAGCAAATATTAACTAAACTGAGACCTCCAAACTCACTGTACAAGAGCCTTCTGATGGAAACAAATTTCCTTCTTTATCCTCACATTCTGGTTCTGAATCAGCAATCTAGAGGTGACAGGTAACAGAAATTTCATCAATGCCCCATACCACCTAATGTCCCCTGTGCTCTAACTTTTATGAATCTTATGCTTGAAATCTTTCTGCCCACCCCCCCCCCCTTTTTTTTTGTGGTGGAAGTAGGCTCCACACCCAGCATGGAGCTCAACACAGGGCCCAAACCCATGACCCTGTGATCAAGACCTGAGCCGAAATCAAGAGTCAGACACTCAACTGACTGAACCCACCCAGGCGCCCCAATTTTCCTCTATTTAATTCTATCTTTGATATCCGTGTGACCCTAGAAAACAACCTTTCTTGGACTCTACTTATGTTGTTAATATTAACCTTGCTGTGAGGTTCATCACAGGAATTTTAAGACATGCTTTAAGATCGGTATCGGTATAGAGAACTACTGTCTCCCACGACCCGACCCCCGCCAGAAAAAAGAGAATCCCCCGCATTCATTCTCCTAGGCTCCTGGAGCACATCAAAGAACAGGGGTCATGTGTTGTTTTCGGTGTCCCTAACCCAGAGCTAAGGACTCACTCACTCACTTAGTGAGTGTTGAAATGACTGGATGGACAATGTCTGACCTCTCAGATGAGAAAGGGCAGAAAAAGCAAGGAAGGTCACAATGGACTTTCCAGCCATGACAGGTCTCCTTCTCCCCATAAGACTTATATTTTTACTAGGAAAACTATGGTTTGAAATAGTGAAATCCTGCATGTCAAGAATGTGAGACTTGCTCATGCTGACTTAAGGTTCTACCAATTTCTGCACTTCTGTTTCTGTCCTTTACCCATTCTTTACACTTCCCCAATAAAATCAGTGCCTCATTTTCTTTCTCTAAGAGCATCTAACTAGGATTTCTCCCAAATTAACGGTATTTGTTTCAAATCCAGACTCTAAGCAAGCTACTATAAAGGGTCCCTCTCTCAGCACAACTCCTAGAAAGGGCCTGGGTCATAATTAGGGATGTTCTCCCCCTGCCCCCCACCCCCAGCAAGGGATCTCTTTAGGCTCAGTGCTCTCCCTGGACCCCCGAGAATGTGGAACCATCCACCAGGTTCTTGGGGACAGCAAAATTCTATCTGGAGAAATGGCTTAACCTGGATTTTCAATAAATCCATTACATAAATGTTTCTACTTTTCTATCTTGTCCTATATAGACAAATTCTATATGGAGTACAGAAAAAATAATTATATATTTGATTATTTTCTTCACTACTGTTAAGCATAAGGTACCTCACTGTAATATGATGTTTTATTCTAGCACTTAGCCCAGTTTGGCTAATAGGAGGTACCCAGAAGTATTTGAATAAGACTATATCTGATTCTTTCCATTAACTCTTCAAACAAACTTTATTTAGCTTCAAGTTTTATGGACATTTGAAATTCCCCAAAAGTCGTTTTTAAAAGATGTAACATAAACTACTGTAGAAACTGGTATTAAATCTGTAAGGTCTAAAATGCGCTATGGGGAATTATGTCTCACTCTTAAGTAGTGTATTATACAGCTCACATGGGCATGCAGAGGGGGCATCGGCAGGCACGATTCCTAGACTTACCTTGCTGTGAGGGTCAGCAAACATTCGGGTGAAGATCTCACACAACCTTTTCAATTCTACTCGACTAGAAGGAATAAAACGGAAATAAACTAAGAATTTAATGAGTCAACACTGAGATTAGTGACAGCTTTTTAAAAAAATAATCTTCATATAACAAAGCTTTTTTCACAAATGAATCCTTTTTTAAATTCATGATAAAATTAAGTAGAAATATAAAATCATGACAGTTTGGCTCTCAACCTAGAATGAGGCAACTGAATCTCAGAGCATGATTACCGAAGTTCACCCACTGGGAGTGGCAAAGCCTCAAGCTAAATAAATTCTGCTCATCTCCTTGAAGATCTGTTTTCCACCTGCCACAGATGAAAGGCAATGGGATAAAGTGATGGAAAAGCATGTGCTTTGGGGTCAGACAGACCTGGATTCTAATCTCAGTTTTACTACAAAGTACTTGGATGTCTTTAGATTTGTATCAAACAAACGGCTGCAGGGAGTTAAAGGAGGGACACTTCCTTCCTATGAATGCTGAAACCAAGCAAACATTCATTTCCTGTTAATGCCCTTTTGCTTTTTCTGACCCTAATCTATACTACTGAGTCCCATTTTCCCTTCAAGGCTCGAATAAGCATCATCTCCTCTTCTCCAAATCACCCCTAAGTAATCCCCCTTCATACAATTGAGACAGTTGGTTCAATGATCCTTTAACTTTATTAACAATGTGATCTAGTTCGACCAATGTCAATCAATAGATTTCTAAAGATTATTCAATGGATGCTTGGTGAACACTAAAAATCAAGAAACTAGGATCACCCAAATGGAGCAGACTTTTTTTTTAAATAAATTAATTTTTATTGGTGTTCAATTTACCAACATACAGAATAACACCCAGTGCTCATCCCGTCAAGTGTCCCCCTCAGTGCCCGTCACCCATTCACCCCCACCCCCCGCCCTCCTCCCCTTCCACCACCCCTAGTTCATTTCCCAGAGTTAGGAGTCTTTATGTTCTGTCAATGGAGCAGACTCTTGAAGACTAGTCATCTCAACAAACAATCCTCAATTTAAAAAAAAAAAAAAATCCTTATTTTGTTTTTGACAGCTCACTAGAGCATCAGAGGCTATCTGCATTTCAGAAGGCATATGACAAAACTCAAGACCTCTCGGGGGGAACAGGACGCAACAAGTACAGATACAGGAGGGTGGAGTCGGACAGGCTGGACAGGCATGCTTACGGCACAGGGATTCACCAGTCAATGTTCATTTAGCTGTGCAGAGCCTGTCTGTGACCAGACACTTGTCCACTCGCAAAATTTATCTTAGAAAACTTATCCAAAGAGTACAGTAGCTGTATTTCAGCTATTTCTTTACTTAGGTATTTACCTAACTTGCCCAATTTTTCACTTTTTAACATCTCTGTAATTTTGAGATTCATCTTATAATCAAAGACATATTAGTGCTGCCAGCCATGGTTTAATAAGTAGCATTTCTTCTTGGATATAATATAATGTGTCAATGATGCCTCAGATTTGATGAAATATGGTATAAACACTGTACTTTTTTGGAATATGTCAATAGATGCTCATTTTAGAAGATTTATGAAATACAGAAACAAAGAAAAAAACAAAATAACTCTAGTAATAATACTGTTACTACTTTAAAGTACTCCATTTTAGTATCTCATTACTATACATAAGCTATATATATGCATTATTACAAAATTTTAGGCTGAGATTGCTATGAAAATTTTACCCACAATTCCAAAGCATTTATAATGAACCATACCAATCTGCAGAGTAGTTTTAATTTTTTATCTAACTTGCAAACTGTACCAAGATTTCTCAAATAACACCTACCAGATAAATGTGAACTATAAGGGAACCAAATGTTTTAGGAACTTAATAAATTATAGAGTATCTGCCAGATATTTCAAGGTCTCTGGAAAGCAAAGACCAGATCTTAGTCATCTTAGCACCCACAGCACCTGCCCCTCTGCCTGGAACTCTGTTACCTCCATGAGTGACGGGGAATCCAACTAAGCTGCTGCTGAGTATCATATGGGACTCAAAACTTGGCTCACAACCTTGGCCTCTTGTCCTCACCTCAGTGTTCTTTGGCTCTTCAGTAGGTTCTGCAGGCCTAGAAGCCCTTCTTTCCTTTCTGACCAGTTGGAACTGGCACAGTGGTTGAGAACTTCTGCCACGTCCTCTGTCTGCCGCAGATAATGGGGAATGCCACCATTCCTAGAGCCATAGGAGCGCTCAGAGCAGACACTCGAGGCATCACTGTTGGCGTCGTCATCAGAATACATCCCATACGGCTCGTACCTCCTCCTCACAGGCTTCTTCTGTCAGGTTCAATGAGGGTGGGGTGATGGAGGAAGACATGCGAAGGTGAAATGACCATGAGTCACACCACACAAAATCGACCACAGAGCTAAAGGTGAAAGATCCACATGCACGCACGCGCGCACGCACATGCACACACCATACTTTCCTGTGCTTACAGATTAGGGAAATAAAAACAGGAAAGCAGACATTGAGTCAGGATAGTAAGTAACAGGCAGAGCAATCCATAGCAGAGAAGAAAGAGTATGGTCTCTAGTACGGTGTGTGGATGAAAAGAGTATGGACTCTAGTGAGGTGTAAGGCAGACTTGGGTAGTAGTCCTGCCACCTACCTGGCTGAGGAACTTCAGAAAGCCTCCTTACTTTCCTGTTTCACTTTCCCCATCTTTGAAATGGCAACAGTGCTACCTCTCACATGCTGGTTACCAGGATATAATGTACACAGAAGTACACATTAACTAACCTGGCCCAGCTCCTGCCACACTGCAGGTATGTGCATCCACTGGCCCCTTCCTAATCAAAAGCAATCTATCTTGAACAGGGTCTGTGGGAAAATTTGTTTGACAATTCATGCTTCCATAAGAAAGTCTGAAACTGAAATGTCAGGGACAGACTAGCCCATGTAAAAGGACTCTCAAATTATCTGAACACAAACAGGCTTCCTGTAGACCCTTCACTCGTTTCTCTTACCTTGAATACGAAAGTATAAGTTAAACTTATACATAATTCAACAGTAGCGATTAAACTGATAAAATACAATTTTCCCTAGAAGAAAAGAATTTTTTAAAAACCCCACTTACAAAAAACAAAAACAAAAAACCCACCTACTTGGCTGAAACCATACAAATGTAATTTTTTATCTTTTTTTCTTTCACAAATGTAATTTTCTAATAATATATGGCTTGTCCATCCACCGAAACTTGCTCAGGACAGTTCTGCCTTATGCCTCTTGTCCCAGCAGAGTTACTTTTACTTTTACAAGTATCCTTGTTAGGATGGTAAATCGTAGGATCATTATATATATATACACATACACACACACATATATATGAACTAGATTGATAAAATAAGAAAAATGTTGAATATATCCATTCATGAAATAGTAATGACACAGGAATAGACACAAACTGGGTTAATAAATAAAACACTGATAGACGGAGCAGAACTTGACATTAAAAAAACAAAAAACAAAAAACAAATGCTAAAACAGAGAGAGGGGACTGATGCCATCACTAATAACAGCTTCACTAGACTTGACTAAACCATAATACAGACCAGAATTTCTACATTGTACTACATGCGTTGTTGCTTTCACTAGCTCCTACAGGAAATATACTCGCAACAGAAAAAAAAATGAAGTTGTAAAACAAAAGTTAAAGCACTGGTACCTTGCTCCTGGAGTCTCCTAACAGCTGTAGGCAGGAAAATATTGAAGGATGGGGAAAAAGCATAGAGAATTATGTCAGAAGCGTATGTGGGGACTGTTCTTGCAACAAAAGTGTACAGCAAAAACATATCTTAGCAAATCAAAAATACAGGTTAGCAAGCGATTCATATCAAGCAAATAATAACAAAGAACGCTTTCACAATGGCATTTCCTAGCCCTTCCTACACCTCCTAGAAATGCCTTCCGGTACATGCTACGCTTCTTGCTACACTAAAAACTTTTCCTATACCACTGAGATAGGGCTCTAAAGTTGCTGTTAACACTCCTGTCTGTTTCTATGCTCAATTCTCTCTGCCCCTAGGGCTTCTTCCCTGGGAAGCAAACACTGTGTACCATTCCTGTGCTCTCTCTTCTGCAGCAGGTCACTCGGGGAGACCAAGCAGTTTGAACAAAGAGTAATATGGGCAGCCTGAGTGGACTGAAGGCTAGAGCTCAAAGAAAAACCCAAGTCAAGGAGAAAGCCCGAGCTCAAGCTCTCAAGTCCGACTCTGCCTCCTAGAACTTTGTGCACAGTCCCTTGGGCAGTTCTTTAAAGAATGAGGGAACTCCCCCACCTTAACTGGAAGTCCCATTTAACTCAGAGTTTTTTGCACATCCATCATTTCCTACCCCTCTGACCTAATAGGGTCTCTGAATAAATAAGTGACAGATTCTCAGTGCTGCAGCTTGGAAGGAAAAATAGCTTCACAGAGTTCTGTTCCAGCTCATGACTCTGAAGTCAAAGCCATGGTTAGAGCAATTATCCTGAACTCCAGCACCTGCCAGGAAAAAAAAAAAGCCCTTCTTCAGAGAGGCTGATGAATAGAGCTGGCCAGGCAGCCCCCGCTTACAGGAAAAGCATCAGGAGAGTGGCAAACTGCTTGCTCACAGTTGCCTGTCAAAGAAATCTGACTGAGCAAGAATAAATGAGGGCAACACAGGAAGGGAGGAAAGTGAGAATCTTTGTTAGCCATAGACTATAACATTTTGATTAGATGAAAGACATGGCTGGGTTTAAAATGTCTGGGTCTAAAAGCAGGATGTTATAATACTTTTTTCCTCAGAGAGACAATATATCTTAAAACAGCACAAGCAAGGCCAGAGATCAGACAGTTCTAAAGAGGCTCTATTTTAAATGCTGAGCACATCAACAAGAATATGCTAGAGGCAGTGTCACTACCAGCTGAAATGCATCTTTAAAAAGCAATTTGACCACAAGCTGCTTCTACCTGGGGTGGGGTTTGCTATAACCACAAATTGAGGGACCTCTAATTATACATATACATATACATATACATATACATATACATATACATATACATATATATATGTGTGTGTGTGTGTATACATATATACACACACACACACATATATATATACACACACACATAAAGTATACTACATTATAGTGATGCAAAAACACATTCCAATAGTTCTTTATATATCCTCAGGCTTTATCGGCATTAAAATTTGGAAAGTTTCCTTAAATAATGACTTAATGGCTCATTTTTAAAGACAAAAAACAAAGGTAAAATCGTATGGAACTACTAGTGTGGTCATGAATTCAATGTGAGATTTTCAAACCACAAACTCTGTTACCTAGTATTATGATGATATGTTTAGGCTATGCCATCAGAACCTATAAAGCAATAGAAGCCAGAGAATGAAAAAAGGAAATGCTGAAAAAAATAAGTAAAACAAACATGAAGAAAAAAAAAAAAAGCCCAATGACATCAGAGAGGCCCAATGTCATCAAAACTTCCTTGATACCGAGGAGCACAGAAGAAACACTTGATCTAGTGTTTTTTGTAAGGACAATTTTCACTTAAAGTTTAAAGGGAAAGTGATAATAATATAAGTGTACCCAGTATTTACACAATTTTACAGAGTGCTAAAGATGATTTAGTACCCTGATTTGGAGGTGATTTCTGTTAGGACAGAGAAAACTGTGGATGAGTAAGTCAAAGAGCCTCTGCACACACTGTGACTCTTACCAAAGCATCAGCAACGGCAGCTTCAAGGTCTGTACTCGTGCTCAAAACTCGCATGGCGTTCACAGAGCCAGGTATTCTTCCTGCCTGGCCAAGCCCAAACCGGTCTATTTAAAAAGAACAAAACCAAAAGATATGTCACTTTAATTCAAACGTTCTCAATTCTTTGCAAGGGCTCCTGCCTCTTCCCACCTACTGGACAGAGGCACTGGAAAGTCTTTAGCCAATTTTAATTACCCCCCCCTTCAGTTCTAACTAGACTTGTTTACCAGCAGCGGAGGTTAAGATGTTCCATATTTAATACTATCGTGCTACAAAGCATCCTAACAACTAAAACAGTTCTTTAATGATTCTTATTTTTGAAAAGTGTTGAGACATGGGGGAAAGGGGAACTTATTATAGAAGTGAGCTGGGCTGTGAGTGGAGTCTTTTAATCTATTTAGTGTTCCCTCTGGGGGGGGGGTGGGCACTGATGTTTGGTCAAGCTAATTAAAAAGCTTCATGGTTTCACAAGAGTTCTAATGCAATGTGTAATAAAAAAGTTAAAATTTGCAACAAACATATTTGATGGATGTCTGCAAATCTTCATTAGCCTCACTACTGTTTAACTGTCATGAACTGGGCTCAACTAATTTTTAGTATGTGTTCACGATTCCTGTGACACCAAAGGGTATTTAAAAATCAGTTTATTAAAATTCAATGCTCATTACAAAAAAACCAGCATCTTCACTGTGAAACATTAACCATTCAGGTAACGTTAGTATACATTTTTCCTTAGTCTCTCAAAGGCTTTTCAAATGATAGTCTATACATGTAAACAAAACTGAATATGATCCAGAGATTTTAAAACAGATTTCAGTAGTTCAATTACTTTAAGCCTGTTAAGGATCATGGATAATGAAGACTAGCTTTTTAAAAGGCCCATTACGTCAAAAGGGCAGTCTTCCTTAAGAAGAGCTGAGGTTAAAGCTGTAACAGGAGAAAGTTCATATAAATTACACTTTCTAAGTGTATCACACTATTTACTGGCAGAAGTTTCTTATTTAAAATGCTAATACATAAAAAAAAGAAAAAAGGAAAAAAAAACCTTTGAAGAGGAATGTTAAGATAAAAATGCTTTCTTTTTTTGAACAAATAAGACCCTGTTTGGACAAAAAAAAACAAAACAAAAAAAAAAAAAACCCACAACCCTCTCTATTAGCCATATTGTCATAGTGAAATGTTTAGAATAAAAGGAAAGCTAAATCTGGTTTACAGGAATTGATCTTTCTTATAAAGTGATATATTTTAAGCTCTGGACATATAACAAGAGTTCGTAGAAAACAAGAACTGTAAAAGTGAGGTGTCACTTAGCTTTTTTTAAATGTCAGTTTCAAAAAAAAAAAATCACACCTTCCAGCGCCATCGAGGGGAAAAAATTTAAACACTGCTAACCAAAACGCTATACAGTCATGAATTTTTATAAGGAAACAAAAATTGTATGTTATACTATCCCCTTTTTTAATGCACTTGTTGGTCACACTCTATGTTGTCTTAGCTGCTATGTTTAAAAGATGATATGCCATATAAACTAAGAGACCAAAATCAATTCTATCTAGATCTTCATATATATATATATATACACACACATATATATAATCAGTTGAAATACAAAACAAGTGTAAATTTGAGATTTATTGTGCATATGGTTTTAAACATAATCTTTGTGCAAGTTTTTTTTCCATTAAAAAAGGGTAGATAGTAAGGGATTTATGAGTAACAAAATGAAAGTAATTCAGTTATAAGCCATTTAAAAATTACCCAGCATAAACTTAAATAAAACAGAACCTAAAAAAAATTTTTTAAAAAAGTATATCTCATGCCAGCAATTCTTGCTCCAGGGATAATACTGATTTTCTTTTTAAGACACAAAAATTAAAATTTTAAGAACAATGCAATAATTCTGGTGCTTCCCAGATGCATACAGCTCCGCCATACACAGTGACTGCAGGATCACTTGATATATATCATAGATCATTTGAATTTCTAATCTGAAGGGGAAATGTTTGTCTGGATCTGAGCAAAGTTACAAGCCTTTTGTTCTCCCCAGACCAAAATCTGTTCTACACTTGCTGCTCTGCTATGATGTTATCACAAAGCTCCATTTCCCAAGAGATGGATACGTGTGACTGTGCCCTCAGTCTGGTCCCTGACTTCATCAGAGTGTACATAACAAAAAATATAGCTCACTTCGCTTAGAGCAAGAATAGAGAAAATAACTCAGTGAACTGGTGACAGCTGTCCCCATCAACAGTCTGTGTAATGTTTTACTCAGGTGAGAGAACTGTAGTCCTTAGGGACTGTTAGCATATAAAAATGATGTCCGTTAAATCCAGCAAACTGATGCATTTCCGTATGCATATTACTTTTTACCCCAATGGCTAGCTGGGGGATTTTTGGTATTTTTGGATTTTTTGGTTAAAGCGGGCTGGGATGGGACATCTGGGGACCACAGGCTGCAAAGACTACCTTCCACCTGACCTGATTATCTGAATCGTGACCTTGTATTTTTGCGAAGTTTTAGGACGATATTTATCCATATGAAATTATGCACACTAGGTTTTGGAACATTTAGTAACTAAACAGTTCCTCCAAATAATGAGAACCTGACACTAATAATTAACGTCAGTAATCAACACTTTTTGGAAGTAAAGCCTCTGGAAATGAAAGACTCTGCTGGGTGAAATCCATCCTCTCTTTCCCCTCAAGGACTTTTCAAGATATCTATTTTGGGTGGCTGTTCTCCTGAGGGAGGGTATAAATGGAGGGGAAGAAGCCCTCCCCGTGTTTTTGTTTTGTTTTCACACAAACATGAACACTGGAGAAATGGTGTTGTCAAACAGGCTATAAAGCATCTACGGCCTATTAACAGAACCATAAACATTCAACAACTTAAAAAAATAAAAGCACGCTGGGGAAAACAAATGGGAAGTGCATACATGCCAGGTGCTAGCCGACACTGATGAAAACAAATGCTAAAATGAGTGTGAAACTGGACCATATGAAGAAGCCAAGTCATGCAGTTAGCACTTGTTCACCTGACTGCCCAACAGATTCAGCAGTGGAGAGGGCACTAGTGGACCTGGAATGACGTCGAGAGGCTGCAGGTAAAAGGAACGGCAACACCCACAGGATTAACACAGAAGTACCCGAGACAGAAAATGCCACAGTCTGAAGGAAACGCAGGGACTGCTCCCAACGAGGCCATGTGTTCTCATGAAAGGAAATGATGCTGGAAATGAATGGAGAGCAAGTGCCAGTCCTCAAACTCTATGGCAGCCTGCTGGCTCTCACACGGCTAGCACACACACAGGCATGACAAAGGCACGCTTTGCGGTGTTCCTTAGGCAACCGCCTAAACTCAGACTCCAGGTTTATATTCACGCCACGAAGCCTCAATGAGCCGTTATGGGAATACACAACATGAGGACGTCAGGAGTCACAGAGCACCGTCCAGATACTGAGTGGGAACAGCAGTAGAATGGATTATTTACTCAGCTCACGAGATGCCTCATCAGTACGTGATGCATACGCAATCATGCACCAAAAACAAAAGCAGAGAAGTTCATCATGTTATTTGAACAGAAACAGAATGAAATCACGAGAAAGGGGCTCAACAAATGAAATCCCGTGTTCCCCCCAATTTTTGCTCTGCTGTTACACAAATATCCTAATTATCAATGAACTTATAAACTAGTAGAAATTTAGCTGTAACAGGTTTTTAGAGGCTTCCTTGGCGAGGCATTTGCGGTACTCTGGTTACAAGAGCACAGACTCCTAATGTGGTGGGGGGGTGGGGCGTGGGCAAAATCCTGGTTTGATTACAACCACCTGGAGGACCTCAGGCCAAGTGCTACATCTCTCCGTGTCTCAGTTTACTTATCTGGAAATGGTGCTAAAAATGGTACGTACCTCTTGGGAGTGGAGAGAACTGCAAGAGGTCATACACAGAACACGTAAAGCAGTGCCAGGCACTGAATAAATGGTGGGAGCAACAGTCGTAGTGCTGCGGGTGCTGGCAGTGGCAGTGACGGTTACCAGTAAATTCCAATTTACATTTCTAATTATTAGCAAATTAAATATTACTTTATTAGCAAATATTCATAATAAGCATATTAATTCATCAATCTGAGGAATTATATGCTAAACTCTGTCCTCATAATTACTTTCAGAAATAACCATAAAATAGACTTGGTTTAAAAATGTGAATTTATTGAATGGAATGCCATGTAATATATGGCTCTTCTTTACCTCAGGGAAAAAAACCCAAAAGATAGTATGCTTATATCCATTACTCTGAAAAGAACATGGTGGTCATACCAGAGAAAATTCACAAGGTTTAACAAAGTAATACCAAACAGTGCTACTTCTCACCCATGCTATTAGAGTGCAGTACCCTGTACATGAGAATACTTTCATTTTGGCTTCAAATACCCGAACCTCAAACTCGTCAGTATAATTTTTTTTTCAAGATTTTTGTTTTTTAAGTAGTCTCTACACCCAACATAGGGCTCAAACTCATGACCCTGAGATTAAGAGTTGTGTGCTCTACTGACCGAGTCAGCCAGGTGCTCCATAACTGTATTTTTTCAAGTTCATGTTACTTTATGAAAATGCACATACCCGGGATATAAGTGGTATCAAATAGAAAACATTACCTGGTTGACAAGAACAAATTTTTACTGACTTGCAAAAGGAAAATCTCTAAGTGGCAAAAATAATTGGCAATTTCTAAAACAGATATAAAATAATCACTTTCCTTAAATATGTTGGCAAAACACTTTTTAAGACTGGAGCATACCATTTACTGTACAACATATCAGTACCATATTCTTATAGTTTAAACTGAAAACAGCTTTTAAGCAATACCTCAATACCTGATGGTTCCTTATAAAGTCGGTCCTTTGGTTCTGTTTCAACAAACTATTCTACAGTAAATCTGTCATGTAATGAGTCCTTGGTCACATTCTCAAGTGAGCACTCATCAATGGAATCCAAGGTGGACCCTCTTACGTCGAAGCCTGATTTACAGCAGAGCCCTTACTTTTACTTAGAAGTTGTCACTTTA